AGTATATTTCAGAAAAACTTTAAATTTGAAACTAACACGCTCAACATACTGAAACGTCTTTGTAAGTTGCATAAATATAAACATGACCACTTACGTTTTAAAAAATATATTATATTTTAAATTATGATAATAGCTGAACGCATTTCACATGGTCGCATTTTTTAAATGAGCATTAAAAATTGTGTAAAAATACTGTCTATAGTTTACGCGAGTTTGCAGCAGCCGTGGTCACGGGGAGACTCTCCCCGTGACCACGGCTGCTGCAAAGCATCCGAAACGTCGGGTCGAAGTTAAAAATCATTTTAAAATAAGTTTAACTAATATATCGCGTTTTAAACCGTTAAAGTGTTTTATTTAAAAAATGAGTATTTTGTGCATAAGGGAGTTTAAATAATAATGGAAGGAATATTTTTGCAACAATTAAGTGAAGGTAACCGTGGACGACTGGAGGGCTCTTACTTACCTACTTCATACTGATTGAACTCTCGGCTTTTCCCAAATTAAACATTTCCCCGGAACAGTAACGCTCCCAATAATGACGCTTTTATGGGTCACACATATTACAAGACTATCCCTGTAGGTCCTATTAACTCAAAATGTCTTAACATTTGGGATAAAAGTTTCCAAGGCTTGTTCTTCCTCCAGTAAGACCTAAAGGTTTAAATTCGTGTGTTTGCTTTGTTGCATTTAAGACTAAAAAAATAATTGAAGAACAGTTTTAATGTTGTATTTAAACACAAAAAACTATTATTATATATTATTATTTTACTAACTATAAACAGGCAATCGTTTGAATTCGAGTTTAGTAGAACACCAAATAAGAACTATAAAAACATAGAAATGATACGTTCATAGAAACTTATACATTTGAAATATGATTATGATAGATTTTAATAAACGTAATTCTGAAATCAAGAAACCCGACATAACAACAAAACTTCCCACAACATTAAACGTTAATAAAAATTAATGATCGTATAGCGCAGTTATTCAATAACCTTTGTCAATATCGATACGAGTATTACTATCAAATATTACATACACATGCTTTCATTCTACATACCGAAAGAAAAGCAGAACGAGAACTGAAAAATGCTTTTTGATTTTTTCGATATTCTAACACAGCTGCGCCATTATTGTCTGGGCAGAGACCGCTTCGTTTCATCTTTGTGAATACATTTTTGGTCTTGAAACTCTTAAGTATCTTCACTGTTATCTTAAAAATTATCCATCTAATAAAACAAGACTCTTATGCGACACTTGGAAAGTTCTTTACAATATTCTTTCTTTCGGTCACTTCAGACAATCTCAATATGCTATCGCGATCACAAAGGACTTTTCCGAGCCTCAAAAACAATGCCTAATTTTTTCATACATTTTTGAATCATCTCACACGTTCAATGAGAATATGGGCGTTATTCAACGACTTCATCTGGCCCAATGCGAGTTGCTAGATTTACTTCGAGGACGTTTGAATTTAACCTTAAAACCTAAGTTCTGAATGTACACGTCACCAAACAGCGCTCGTTTGATGCAAAGGCTGTTAATCTTTTCCATAGGTAGGTAGTAGGTATAACAGATTAGTATATCTAGTGCTCTACTATAAACAATGTTATAATGGTACCTAAGCACAGCTTGTGTAAGTTGGCAAACGATCGTGTGGAAAACCAATTTCTAGTCTGGACGCGACCCAACTTAAGTAAATAAGTGTACTAGTCTCGCTCTTGATATGGTAATAAATTCCCGTCAAATTGAAAATGATTCGTTGAATATTCTAGGATACGTTCGAATTCTTCAACGGCCCAGGATAACTCTTGGACTATGTCCAATCAGTATTTCTTAATATGTAATATGTTATTCAATCAAAATATGTACATAGTTTTGTGACTAATATTGTTTGTAGCAAAATACTTAGTAATTTTATCTTTAAAGACAACGGTACTAAAGAGTTCTAAATATACGTGATTTTATATTTTCAATTGTCAATTGTCAATTGTCAATTTTGCACATATTTTTTTATTACAATTGATTTATTTTTAAGTAACGCAGTGGTGACTTTTTTTACCATATAAAAAAAAAAATTTTTATGATAATACTAAAAAATTAAAAAATAATACTTTTTCAGGCATAATATGTCTGGAAAATTATTTCTTTGTTTTTATTTTGTGAATTAAACTAAAAGTAACAAGTAAACAGGAGCATTATCAAAGATGTGGTGTTTATGTAACGTCTTAGTTAAAATGAATAAATCTACTATATTCAGAAGACTAATTTAAGATATAAGCTAAATCTAAATTCTAATCCTAATCCAATTCAATTGAAATACATTGGCTCATCATACCTACTTACGTTTTAAAGTGTTAAATACCGACATAAAAAATGTAATGGTCAATATTACTTATAATTATAAACTCCCTAAGACATAAGCCCTCATCTAGGTTTTTCAGACAACATAAAAGGTTATGAGCAACTTTAACTTACCATGGATGCCGCTCATCCTAGGTTCCACTTACACAAAACTTTCACCATGTTTTTAACACAAAAACTACTCGCACCCCATTAAAAACAATAAGTATTGGACAACAGTTACGCGTTTTCGTTATAACTTAAAATTGTTGATAAATTCTTTGACAAAGTTGAGATTTAAAATTTTCCGTTGGCGGGAAAGATGATATTCGCAAACCTCCATCCGCAGCTTTCGACCCTCATTTCGTACTGAGGGATTGCGAATCTGACAGTAGGGGTGGAAAAGTTATCGATACTCATAGACAATTTGTACAACTTCTGCTTTCTTTGGCATACGTTGCGATAAATCCTTCTATTGTCAAAGTTCTATGTAATTATAGATTTCACCGAGGCAACAATGTTGATTTGCCAATTTTACACAAATTATATAATATAATCTTTTTATATTATTAATAATGAATTAAGCCAATAAATATATATAATACTAGCATTCTGTACCTACACCTTGTCAATATGAACTATATCTTCGCCAAATTTTCGGAAAAGTACCTCAAAGTTTAGCGTTTTCAGTATGTATCGATACTTCGATATCAGTTATCGAACGGCGCCATCACTATCGCCTAAGCTTTCAGAGCCGTTAGTGAACACTGAGTGGACCTGCGCATGTGCAACTGATGTTTTTCTCAACTGAAAACTTGAATCATCTTTACATACGTAAGCCCTCGATTCATTGCTAAGAGGTGACTGAGATATTAATATAGTATACTTATGCTTAGAGAAATGTTTATTGATACTTAATAAATTAATACTATACGGCTCTGTTAGCTATGGAATAACAAAAATATACTTAGTAGATTAAACTTATATTTTTAATGAGAGTAGTATTAAATTGGATCGTACTTATAAGTTATAAGTTATAAGGATTATATGGTAAAAAATCGATCCTACAAATGAACAAAAATTAAGACATGAACTATCTCAATTTTGGTGCTTGTTTGAAACAACCAAGGTAGGTAGTACCAACATTTTAAAAAAATTGTTAAAAAGGGAAAATATATAAATCAACTAAAGACACATTTTTTAAAAAACATGATGTCTTTTCAAGTTATTATTTAATTATATGTATTTACGTACGATACCCCCTCACTCGGGTGAGCATTCGTTTGAATTGATAAAAAAATAACTTATATAAAAACGTCAATTGTTTGTAACTCGTGAGTTAGTGGCACATTACTTTACTGTCATAATTCTTTATAAACAAGGACTATTAAGGTGTAAGTTAGTAAAGAGTTAGCATAGTTTAAATAGACTAAAAATATATATTTATGTTTAATAGGTATACCATTCTCCTAAGAAACAGTTTCTATATTTTTAGTCTAAAGATGAAAAGCTAAGTTGCCGCCTTGACTTTATTCAAAATCGATGCTCCAATATCCTAGACCTGTTTTAATAAATCGGTAGCGTAGAATCTATTTGCGTGTCGTATCCGATTCGTTAGTTGCTAAGGAAAAACCAATACGCTGAGAGACGACACACCCTACTATTCACTGTATTCCACTAAGCTTTAAACAGATTTTTGTTAAAGTATTTTAAAACGATTTTTGGGCCTACTTATTTCAGTATATTAAATAAAACGTAGGTTCAATTTCCACCAGGTCCAAAATGTTTGTAAATTAACAAGTAATTTCTTAATATTTTGACACGCCTAATCGTGCCAAGTACGTGCACGCCGGCGTTCACAGTTGGAAAAACTGTGAATTATAATTTTTTTCAATTTGTTTCAGTCTATAGACGTTTGGAATGTCAAAAGTAAAGACAGGTTACGTTTAACGAATTTTACCTTTCATCAAATAAGCCCCGTTAAAAACAGTACATTATGTGTTATTTTTTAAAATAAAAATCTTGGTATTTGGCAAAATGCCACTGCTCTTGAAGATACGGAGCACATTAGAAAGATCAGAAGTCCTTTTCACTTATCATTTTTATGGAACGTAACCAAAAAAATAAGAGGCAGTAGTTATTATATATTTGTAGTAATTAAACGACTATTGTATATTAGTATTATCGTATTAAGAAATACGTTTCAAACTAAAACATATTTCTATAATTACAGATTATGAAATAAAAAAATACTTTCAAAGACACTACAAATAAAACACAAACTTCTCGTGAGCTTTTAATCCATTCATTACTGGATATTTCAATTTGCATTTTTTCTTATTATTATCTTTATAGGTTAGATAGACATTAAATATCAATTATATGTTTAATTATAATTAATCAAGATAATAATAAACTTTTTATTCGGACAATTAAAGACCTATGTATATTTTCGAATACAAAATTACACATTATTAGAAGAATCTTGTTGAAATACTGAATGAAATATAATAATTATGATAAAATAACAAATGTTTCTTATTTCCTACTAAAGGATTTATTATATTTAATATTTCTAATTATCTTATAGTGAATTAAATGTGAGATAGCAATCATTGAGAATTCTTCCTGCTATGGGACTAAAGTAAAAATATTTATATCTTCTTTCTGCGTTTCTCTGGAGTCGTCTGGAATAAGGCTTCGTCGGCGCGAATGAGTCGATTTACAGCGCGGCTCAGCGAGACATCTGCCACACACACATAGGCGATTATTAGCGAATTTGTGGCTTACAAATTTATTTATTAAAAACATTTACAACAAGAAAATATATCAGATTTGCATTGAAATTGCAAACGATGTATATCTTATTACATATAATTGCCCTCCAGTTTTTGTCAACATTTGCTAATTGCATGTAGTTTTATCCGATACTTGTGTAATGATATATGTGTCGTAAGTGCTTAAGTTGTTATTTCTTGTTGAAAATTAAAATCCTTCAAGTATAAAAGTGTTAAACCTACTTGGGTACAGTAAAATTTCTTAAAATTGGTGTTGTATTAAAGACAAAAAAATACATAAGCCTACTTCATTTAAGAGAGTAGATAATGTAAATAACTTAATAATTATGTATTATATAAAGCTTAGGGACATTAAAACTATGTATCCAAAATTAAAAGCAAAAACCATAGAAATATTATATATATCAATTTGTTTGTATTGTAAGTAGAATGTGTGTTTTAATCACTGTTGGTCATATATATCGCCTTTTAAATGAAACAATAATTTCCACAAAAATACCTTTAATGTGATAAAAATTCAACAATCCACTTACTATCATATTAGTATGTATATAAATAATTTAAGTACGTGTAAATACAATTGTATAGTTTTTAAGTACAAATAAATAAGTAAAAACTAATACATAAATAATTAACTAGACTAGCTATTAACAGAAAATGTTTGAACACATTAAAAAGTCTCATTATTAAAGCAGCAGTTAAAAATTACGACCCCATAAATTGTTTGCCTCTTTTATTAAATCCCTTACTAAAATCACCTTATTCCTAGATCCTAGTGTTAAAGTATTAAATAAATTAAATAATAAGCTGTCAAAAACAACTCTACTTGGAAAAAGATTTTGAGATCAGATCAGAGACATTTAACTTGACAAAACAGTTGTTTTGCTCTACTTTAAATTTATTAAAGATAGTCCAGCCATGATAGTCACACATGAACCCAAAATCTGTTTCCACCTTTTGCATGACAAAAGAGCCTAAGAGCTATGTGTTGTTGAGCAAAATTCAATAATATGTGGGATATTGTAATTATATATGAGTATGATAATAGTGATATTCTTAAATAATAATAAAAAAACACAGTGCTGGTCAATTAGTTTGAGCATTTGCTTCAAGACCGTAAAGTTTGTGATTTGATGACATATGTGATGTATTTTTATGAGTGATTATTCTGACACATGCTCTCCGGTGAATGAAAATATCTTTAGGAAATGGCCTTTGGGCAACTTAATAATAAAGGCCCTATATATCCCTTTATATTGTGTCCCAGTTGTGGGAACTGTTAGTAGGCACAAAGAGTACAAATAATTAAACTAATAGAATTATTATACACAATGTAGAATAGCACTATCATGTGTATGTGTGAACATAATACAAAAAATATTTAATGTCCATAAATAATAGTCTCAACCATACCCCTTTTTCCCTAAAAATGTCTTCAACATTATTGTATTCTTATAAATAATAATTGTGGAATTCTACCAACCGGGCGTAGTATTGGCAAGTCGTCTCATGCGTCGTGTATTTCTATCCTGGTCACGTATCTTCTTCTCCATTTCGGCGTTGGTAAGAGTCTCCAAGTGCGGAGCCCATATTTCTGCTTCAGATGGCTGCCGGTACGGTGTCTGTAAGTTTTCGACTTTTGTTAATACTAGCATTACTACATTCATTTTAAAATTATTTAATTAACTTTTAATAATATACAGAATGAAAAGCTTAAGATTTGTATGTTATACTTAGACAGGTTAAAAGCATAGTTAGTATAAGAAGCTACGAAATCTACATATTCATATTAATAACCACCATTCTCTTAGTGTTAAACTGACCTCAACAGTTGGCAAAGCTTCATTAAAACCATATGTACGTTGATGCCAGCCCAGTTGACCCCGGACACTGTACGCAATACCTGTCACAAATTCACCACCCAGACCCAGTTCTGCACAAAGCTTCATTGCAAACTGTTCAGGATTGTTCTCCTTTTCTGACATATCCCATTCCACCTAAAACAAGATAGCTCAGTATTTTTATATCACAACACATTGTTGGTCCTAGGTTTCCCCTATATCTTTTCAATCTTTGTTTATTTATTTTCTATCGGGGTCACCTATAGAAGGCGGGGTGATCAGTCCACACCATCAGCTGACTGCTTCACCGATTTCCCCAATTCTCTCTGTTACTTATAATGTATACTGCATTACAAAAAAAATAGTGAAATTTAAAGAACATTTACTACCAATTCCTCTTTTAGCACTTGTATTTTAAGTTATAAGAGAATAAAAGAAAACTAAAGTTATAGATTTAACTTATAACATATTTACAGATACAATAGTTAAAATATCTTACTGTGTCTACAAGAGATGTATTTCCAACATGTATATTCAGTTTTATGATAACTCTCTGGTCAGTCGCCTCTTCTAGTATGGCTGGAGGCTCACTTGGAAATGCTTCAATTTGCTGCTTAATAGAAGTAGCAATGGCTGGTATAAAAGTACTCGTGTTCAGTTCTAGGTCATCACACAATACTTCAGCAAATTGCTCTGGAGTTATAATTGATTCTGGAAGCAATTTGTATTAACTCAACATGCATCTTTACTTAAAGTGTAAGGCAGTCCTAGTAGTAGCCATTGCAACTTGTTAAGAATAACTTTATAAAATGTGCTGTGTTTTGCGATGCTTCTTATCATACCATTTTTGTTCCAAGTAAAAGTGTCTCTGAGTTTCTGTCCTTCAATCTCCATGTCCAATCTAATAGGTACTAGAATTTGTTTTTGTGAGGCATTTTCCAGCATTGCAGTCATATCAGTGTCATCAAAACACAATGGGAATGTGCGAACCTGGCCATATAACAGAAGTTAACAATATTTTTTGTACATTTCTGGGTACAATATCTTTTTAATGTTAATAAAAAGGAAACATTCAACCTTGATTAGATTATATTTCCACTTACTATAATCTTTTTTACTTACCTTCTTGTTATGAACTCTTGTCCTACTTATAGGTGTTGCTTGGGGCACTGCATCCAAATGTGACGAGTTTGGCATCACAGGAAGCCATGATGGATTATGCGGCTTTTTGCCTTTCCCTTCTCTTGGTGTAGCCATTTCTTGGCTAACAGACACTGCTTTGTACCTAAAACAGTTATCCAGTTAAATCATACATCAAAGAAAAAAACAAAACCACTGAAATCAACATACTTTTCATCGTTTCCTTCTATAATATCTTCAACTTCAGATGCTCTCAGTAGTGATACAGAGCTTGAGAGAACGTGAGGCCCCAATCCATTATCAACCAATCTCTTTCTTTCATCATTTGTCAGAGTTCTCCTGGCCATGCCAGGATACTTTTTGTAGAGAGACCCTCGGAATAGCCGAAGGTAATTTCCAACCTGCAAAATGTGTCATGGGTATTAAAAAACTCTCCATGCAGTTTATGAAATGCTTGAAATATTCATGTTAATTACCTCTGATCCAACACAATAAAAGTCGCCTCCTTCCTCTATTTGAAAACTTATCGGCTTATCGCCGTAAGTTCGGAGAGCCATTTTGATAGATTTAAAACACCTTATTGATTAATTTATATCATAAATTAATATTTTAAACACTTCTTTTCCACGTTAACCATTAATTTTGGAAAGCCCTTAATGTATCTCAATTCTCAAACATTGCAAGAGCATCTTTATTAGACGCCAAATAATATCAATTGTCATTTGTCATATTATGTTAACAATTTACCACAGATCCTGAGGGCATATTCGTTGGGTGTAGTTGAGCCAACGAGAAATCAGTCAATTGTCAAAGCATTCCATTTCGAGGTGTACTAACAATTTCATTCAGTACTTCATTCGTTCCAAATCCGATTTGCCAATCAGATAATTAGTTCGTTTTTATCTTTGGTTAGGGTAGGTGTATGCCGTGTGCTCCAGTTGTTGTTTTAAACGACAAATAATTGGAATTTTTCTATAATGTCTTCTAAGACAGGAAATTTCAAAAATCCTTTCTCTAGACCATGGATGACGGAAACTGGAGCAGCGGCAGCGGCTGGTAGTGGTTCCGTTGGACTCAAAGGAGTCGTGGCTGGCGGCATTACTGGTGGCATTGAAATTTGTATAACATTCCCTACCGAATATGTGAAAACACAGTTACAATTAGACGAAAAAGGTAAGGTTTTACCTAGTATATGACCTCTAACTTAAATACATCCTTCTGCTTTATATAACAAATATTTTGATGGGAAATATCTCCGTCAAAATTAGCGATCACAACGATAAAAACTCTGGTTATCGGCAAAATTTTTCGATCTAAAAATATTCGGAATTTACGTCATCGTTGGTCAGCGTAAATGTAAAGTAGGTAAATAGGTATATTTTTAATCCAGCTGCGCTGTCTTTGAAACTAATGTTCGTTGTAAAAACAAAATACGCGATATGAGCTGTGCTTCGAGTTTCATTTACTATTCTGTTTCTCGTAATTGGTCAATGGTCGCTTAGCAAATAAATATTAATTATAATGCAATGTATCCTTTACTTCAAGGCTATATTAACTAGGTGATACATGTTAGGCCGAGAAAAAATTAAAGAACGTAGTTACGACTACTAACTCCGTTTATAAACATATTGTACAACACATTCTCATTTTTAATTTTTCTCTTTTATCTACATTTATTATAATTATATAAAATAATGTTAAAAAACGCAATTCATGCGTTACTAAATAGTGATTATTTAGCGTAATTTTTGTATTATTTGTAATAAGTTAATCTTCACAATTGTTTTTGTTTTTGAAAGTGATATGGGCATTAGATAATAATATATGCTTAATAGTTTCTTTCTATAGTTTAAATAAAAAAATAAATTAGTTTTCCAATTTCAAGCTAATTCAAATTGTTTCTCCATTTATATTATAATTCTATAGTTTGCTTAAACTTATGTACGTAATAATTTCAAACGTATTATAATCCCATCCAGAAAGATGTTTCCTCGTAAAGTGGGCATTTTCCTTTTGGTTATATTTCCTGTTTTAGGCCTTTAAACTATCCAAATATTAATTTATGTCGTTAACAGTTTATATTTAAACATGTTCTACTCGTGTAAGGTACAAAAAATGCGTATATACATATAATACGCGAACATTTACGAATCTTATCTAGTAGGTACTTTTAGCGTGCAGTCGAAAGTATAATATGTTATGCAACACAAATTCAAATAAACCATACAAGTGGTTTGTTTACCGAAAGGCCGAAAACGGACTTTGTTCAAATAACATTGTGATATATTTTTTCGTATCGTGCGTATTATCATATCTTTTGTCAGATTAGAATCAGTTGCCAAGCTGCTTACAAGACCCTTTTTAATAGAGAAGCCTTATTAGAAATTATTATTACGAATTGAATGTCTTTGTATCGTATCGCTAAACATCTGTTTATAATTAAGGAAAATGAATAATGATGCATTATACATTTATGTCTTGCCTACAATAAGTAATCATGAATAACGTAGCGGGAAGACGGGCTTGTTGGTCTCATGGTAACAATGTATTGCTAATAATCAACGGGTTCAATCCAAACCGAGTCAAACGTGTTCCTAATCAATTTATATTTCTGAAAGGTGTTCTACTTCATCTGGATATATAGATATTAAATGGGTGACATACCTATATTCAGTTCAATTCGTGAACCTTGGTTGTGGTCTCAGTCTTTGGATTTCCAAATGTCTAAAAGCTAAAACCAAAATGGGTGGACAGCGCATCTTAATAAGATATTATAGGCCACCTTCAATCTATGACATCTGTCATAGATTGAATTTACTTCCCTTGAATGCTCGGTTCACACATTCTACCTTTTAGCCTCACTCTTTCCGTTACACGTTATAGCATAACGACATCGACAGAGGTATAGAGCGTGATATTACGTTACATGACCTCATGGTAACTTGACCTAGAAATTAGATTGTTGCTTACACTGATAAGCGTTATCAAACTTTGACTTGTCTAATTAACAATCTAGTTTAAATACAGATGGCAAATGGTGGACGAATTAAAAAAAAAACAAATCAATGCGTAATTTACACTAATATAGCTGAAAAGTTTGTTTGTTTAAACGTACTTATCTCTAGAACTACGCTTTCGAATTGAAAATTTATTTTGTGTTGGTTAGAGCATATGTTGAGAAAAGTTATAGGCTATAAAAACCGCGCTACGACTAATAGGACGGAAGAGGCAGCGGGAAATGTGGAAAAACGGGGAAAGTTAGTCATTCTTGTGAGTTTCCGTTGCGTACGCTGCGAACGCGGTTCAATATACCCAAAAAATATATATTAAAGAATGATTTCTCTTTAAATGATCTAAAAAAAAATATTAGCCTATTTGCGCCAGTAAATGTCTATCTTTTGTGTTTAATTTACAAAAACAACGGGATGCGGCCGATGTCGTGGGTAACGGCTTAAAATTATAGAGTTGAACTGGAGATTTGCAAAAAATTTGATGCCCTAAATATCTAGTCTACGCGGACGAAGTCGCTGACTCAGCTTGTGAAATACATTTATACGGATTTTGCAATAACGTATTAGCAATATGCTACGAAACCTATAGTACTTTTTGTAGATAATGCAAACAGTTGAATGTGAGTTTACGCAAACAGAGTACTCGCAACTGATACGTTGTATTCGTTTATAGAATCGAAAGTACAATACCTCGTAAGGTTCTCTTTTAGAATCGGCTCAGGTGGCCTTACTTCAGGCCTTGGCTGAAGTTTCATGAATGATCAAAGCTATGTATTTTATATCTATATACAGTATTTCATATCTTCAATAACTTGGTATAAACTGAGTCCTGTCTATATTTTACGCGATTAGTACAATTTCAATAAAGCACCTTAACGGTTTAAAACGCGATATATTTTAGTTAAACTTGTTTGTTTTTACTTTGATGTCAGAGACATCCTCCATCTTTAGTCTCCCCATAACCATGGCTGTTGCAAAGCATCCGAAACGTCGGGCCGTAGTTAAAAATAATTTTCAAACAAGTTTAACTAAAATATATCGCGTTTTAAACCGTTTAAGTGTTTTATTTTTATATTGGTACAATCTATTCATGAAGTAGAGCTCTACATTTTTTTGTGTCAAGTCTATCCCTCCTCGTTTACGATATTCATAAATATTTGGTAAACATTTTGCGAAAATAATGTCTGCAATTTTCAGGTGGTACCAAGAAATACACTGGTATCTTTGACTGTGTCAAGAAAACTGTAAAAGGTCACGGTGTCCTCGGGACTGTACCGAGGTCTCAGTGTTTTGCTCTATGGCTCCATCCCAAAGTCTGCTGTCAGGTAAGATTTCGTTGATTAGTACCTACGTAAAACTATGTACCAATAACAAAATGCATATGTCATGATAATTTATCAGGATTTGAACCCTTAAACAACACAGAAACAGAGCTACAGAGACGGAAATTCAGCATACGAATAATTGAACTGAAGGTTGAATATACTCGTAACTCGTTATAAAAATATTTGTGCCCAATTTTCCATAAGGGGCGTTAATTTACGTAACCGGTTATAAGTATTTGCTTTTTGTATCAACCAATTGAATCTGTTATTGTAAAATTCCTCTATTTATATACGATATGTTCAAAATTGCTTTTCGATGTCGGTGAAAAGGTTGTACTGTGACTAGCTATGTCAGCGACTTCCGCGTAAAATTTTGGGCGTCAAAATTTGTTTTTGCAAGCCTTTGTACCAAATATTTACCAAGATTTCTAAAGAATTAAAATGGGTGAATAGTTTGCTTCGTATTTGTACATTTCCCACTATTTCTTCTGCTATTGGTCGCAGCCTGATATATTATAGCCTAAAACTATCTCAATAAATGTTCTAAGCAACAAAAATAAATTTTCAGTTCGAACGTTCTTGAGATTAATGCGTCATCAAACAAAGAAATTCTTCGACTTTATAATAGAAGAATAGATACATTTTAACATGACACCATGTAGGAATCTCTAGAGAAAAGCTCTTTCAGTATCACGTAGATTTCCGAATATAAATAACATCAGTAAAAAGCACAATAAAATTACCGAAGCAGCAAAAGACATCCGACGAAAATAACTGACTTATGTAATTACTAACAATCTTGAAATACTCTAAATTTTTCTTCTCTCGTCGTTCAACTCTTTATAATGCAATTGTGTAGCACATTTATCGTTATTTAGAGTTTATTGAAAATCGATTTTAAACACACACATGAAGACTGATTTGGAGCAAGATGGCAATTAGGTGATAAGAAGTTCATTGAGTCATGCCGACTCTTGCGCTGAACGATAATAATTATATCGATCAATATTCAATGACATTCCGGACTTATTTGCTTCTAGTTAATATCCTGTACATAATCTAATAATCCATATATTGGATTATTTTTAGGGAGAACGATTAGGATACAATGATATAAGAGGCCGCAAGATGCAGAGTAGCCTAACTGCAATTTTATGACTGGACTTATTTATATTTGTATAGTCTAAAAATATTGAGCAAGAGCACAGTGACCGAAATTTGTTAACATAATTCTTACACAAATAATAGTACACATTAGTTTCAGCTAAATTAATTGCGTATTTTTATTTTTTTCTGTATGAATATCATATTTTTTTATTATTAGGCCACTCTGCCTCTAGCAGCGTCGTATATAAATAAGGTAATATGATGTATTAAGCACAGTTTCCAATTTATTTACAAAAAATCCTGTATCAATCTTTTGGGCTTGAGTCATTCACAGGTTCGATTGGGATACCTAATAAAATATAATAATACATAGTCCTTTACAAACTTTTAACATTGTTGACCATCGTAATCCCTAAGTACGCACGTTAATTACTGTAATTGTAGTCCTATTAAAACACCAGCGAGGTCGTTCACCCCAGTTTCTGTTTGACATTGACGTACATACATATTACAGATTCGGTGTCTTCGAACAAGCGAAACTGTACATGGTGAACGAGAATGGAACTCTATCTAACTCCGGGAAACTTATGTGCGGTCTCGCTGCTGGTGTTGCTGAAGCAATATTCGCGGTGACCCCCATGGAGACCGTAAAGGTCAAGTTTATCAATGACATGAGGATGGAAAAGCCACGGTTCAAGGGATTCTTCCACGGAGTCAGGACTATCGTCAGGGAAGAGGGTGAGTTATTAGCATATAGGTCGACCACCTTGGGTAGATGTTATATTCCCATTGCTTTTCTTTCCTCCACTATCAATAAAAAAATGTATTGGGTTCTTTAAATACGTAAATAAGGATTTGACAAGCTTCATTTTTTTACAGTAATAGGTTTGTAAACTGTCGAATTCCATACAACAATGGTTAAACGTGTTGCCTAGCATTGCTTTAAGTAGAGAGGTCTTTGGTTCGAATCGGGGAAAATAATAAATTGTTTCGTCCGGTAGAGCATAGATAGCTTAGCAAATGTTTCCGTGCAAACAAATCGATCAGTGAAACGGACCCAAAAATGTGTTCGTCCCGTCCCCCACAAGGGGACATAAAATGTCCTAAATACTTGACATTCTAAATCTGTGGATATTAAAGAAAGAAATTTAACTTTAATAAAAAACCTGTTACGCCACCAATGTTCCGTTAAATAATTATTATCTAATCGGCGTTTAATTGCTTTTATCAATAGATAATAGATATCTAGGTTAAAATAAAACGTTTTTAAACCTATATTTCACCAAATTGAATTTGAAATTATTAATTAACCTTGATCCTTATAATCTTAAGTTATCCAAACTTATTCAGTACTCTAAGAGAAAATTAAAGACAAATTATAACTATTGATAATATGGCCTTTAAAAATTTGTATATGTACATTTACAGGCGTTGGAGGCGTTTACAAAGGTGTTACAGCGACTATAATGAAACAAGGTAGCAACCAAGCGATTCGGTTCTTCGTGATGGAGTCACTGAGAGACTGGTACAAGGGTGGAGACAGAGACAAGCATGTTCCTAAATACATTGTTGGTCTTTTCGGAGGCATTGCTGGTAAGTTCTAGAAGAAATAATATAAAGGAAGGCAAATCCAAAATTTCTGGAATTTGAACTAGAACCTTATTACATTTACAAGTATAGTTTAATGAGAATCCTTTCAACATGTGGTACCAAGAGTAAGACAACATTAAGCACTCATGTAGCTTATGCAAGTAGTATATACTCAAATAAAAATTTTAACGGCTTAAAACGGGAAACATATTGGTTAACTCATTTACAATTTTTGTTATAACTACATCCCGACGTTTTGTATGCTTTATTTTTTTAAATTTTTTATTAATAAGCTATTTATATATTACGCGTATTAAACCGTTAAAAGTGTTTTATTTAATATAATGCTGGTAAAACTTATAACTGAATACTTGCGCCATATATGTACTATAAAAATAAAATATTTACATTGAATTTAGACCATGTGACGTTATCAAGATGTCACAAACCACATCAACTTTATCGGACTTCGTAAATATTGCCTGGATATACAAATTGGTGCAACTATACAATTTTGTTAAAGTTTACTTCTGTTATATAGTAGAGTTTGTAAAGAGATGATTAAGTATTCTGCACGCTATGAAAAAGATAATCACGCAAATTTTTTAAGGTTACAATAACGGCAGAGTAAATTGTGATTTTAATTCTTACCAGCAGTTTCAGAGAAGACACACAGATACACTTTAGCTTTATAATATTAGTGTAGATAACATTTATATTTAAAATTCAAATTTTCTAAGATTTGTGTTTTAAATAAAAAAATAATTTATGTTTTGATAATATATTAAAAAAATTATTTTCAAATAATTTTAATTAATATATCGCGTTTTAAACCGTTAAAGTGTTTTATTTAAATGTGTACTACTCGCGTAAACTATAGACCTAATCGTACTTATGCTTAGATCAGACTAGCACTTGGCCAGTCTTTCTTGTCCATAAATAGTATAGTTAATACTTTTTATTTTTCAGGTGCGGCATCAGTCTTCGGAAATACACCTATAGATGTCGTCAAGACCCGCATGCAAGGTCTAGAAGCAGCCAAGTATAAGAGCACCTGGGACTGCTTCATCAAGACTTGGAAGCACGAAGGACCTCTGGCCTTCTACAAGGGCACAGTCCCCCGACTCAGTAGAGTAGTATTTGATGTTGCCATAACATTTACCATTTACGATAGTATCATGGACGTCTTTAACTACGTTTGGAAGTAATAGGTGAATTTCATGCCTTTATACGATTGTTTTTTGTTGACGGTGGTAGTAAGTTTTCTTAGTGAGGATAGTAGGTTTCAAATATATGTAAGGACAAGAACTATATCCGTTTGGATAAAACGAAAAACGCAGTTATGTTGTTTTGTATGTAGTATATATATTGTAGAGTTAGGCACACTGTTTTATATCTATTTTTTATAAGATATAGCTCGATCGAAATAGTACACTCGGTACAAAGTATGGTTAGATTTATATATTTTTATAGATATAACATTTATAAGCTTTCCTTCTCTGCAGGGTTTCAGAAATCAGTTCGCATTTCTTTTTTAATGCTTTTATGTGTGTTTCCGTTATTATTTGAAATGTTTATTTTTGTATTGTTATATTGTAACGTGGCTGTGTTAGAACGAGGTTTTTTTTTACACAAACAATAGAAATCATTTTTTCTTCTAGAATCTCTTATTGAGAATGCTCTCCGGAGTGTTCAATGTTTTTATCTCTTGACGAATTTAATTGACATTTGTATCTCTTGAGCATTTTAACTTTTTAAGATCTCTCGACCATCTCTGGAATGTTGATAAAAATCTTAACAAAAACCGTAAAAAGGTGCTGTTTTACATTCTTGACAAAGGCGCTTTTTTGAGAGATCTTAATAAGACATTCCGTTTTAATTGTTTTGTTATATTTTTATTTATTTTCTGATTTTCATTACATGTTGAATATTGCAATTATTATTTATTATGATTGATTATATTGTCAAACAATACCTCTAGTTTTTTTTCACATTCATATAGGTAATTGCTTTTATAGATAATATTACTGTTATAATTCTATAAAGGACCAAAATTCACCCTTTTAGTGAAAAATAATAGTTAAATCAAACTTTAAAAGTTTTAATATTAATAGCCATCCCATATATTTAATAAACAATAGTATTCTAATCATTGTAAATATCTTAAGCTTTAACAGTTCTTAGTAACAATCACAGTCATCAGTTTAATTTTGATAAGCCTTATGCCAATTTTATTTAAAATATATTTTATACCCTCAAAAATATATAGAAATAATAATTACAGAAACCAAATCCTAAAAGGCATATATTAAAAGGGATAATATTTATGTTTGGCAAATGCAGTAGCAGGAACACATCGATGATTCAAATTGAAGCTATCTACTAAAGCCATTTCAGCAGCACTTAGTTCAAAGTCGAAAATTTTCAGGTTTTCTTCCATGCGTGACTTTGTGAAGGATTTTGGTATAACGACAATTCCTCTTTGAACCTGAAATCCAAGTTTGTTTTCTATCAAGAACATTTTTGTTCTTAATTATATCAGATTATGCAGAAAGAGTTCAAGGAAATTTTTTTACTGATAAGTGACGACTACTTGTGTAAAAGATTGTATTTAGGAATAAAAGTAATAACTCACTAGATATCGTAGTGCTATTTGCGCTTTAGTTTTTCCGTATTTTTCAGCCAGAGCACCAAACCGAGGATCTGTATTTATTTTATCCAGGTGAGCAAATTCAGGTCTAGCATCTGACAGCAGGCCCAAAGGTGTGTAAGCAACTGGTTGCACATCCACTGACTTACAGTAATCCACTAACTTTTGTTGCGTCAGGGATGGATTTATCTTTAAAATTAATAGAATTGTTTTAGATTTTTCAAACTAGTTAAGTCCAAAATCTACAAAGAATAGTGGTCAAAAATAATGAGAACATCCATGCATATGTGAAAATCTTCCATAAAATGAAGGCACTTAATATTAAGGAAAACATTAACATGTAACAAATAGTTTAATTAAAACATTTTACAATATAGAGAAATATTTTTTAAATATTCTGATTTCTGAAAGCAAAACATAATAAAAAAATATATACCTCTATTTGATTAACAACTGGCTTCACTTTAGCAGTTGCTAACAACCTTTCAAGCTGTTCCTCATTAAAGTTGGATACACCAATAGATTTGGTGAGACCAAGCTGTAAAGCTTGCTCCATACCACGCCAAGTTTCTATGTAATCTATTGCTTGGTCTTCTCCTTCATCCTAATAGACAATAACTAAATAAATAATCAAGTATTCATTATATATTCAGAACCTTATAGAACCAGACACATTTCTGTCTTACTAAAGCATTATTGCCTTTTTTTATTATAGCCAAAAATATTATTTAGACTTACATTTATTGAAACAGGCCAATGTACTAGATATAGGTCTACATAATCAAGCTTCAGTTTGGCAAGGGACTCCTTAAGTGTCAGCACTATGTCTTTCTCTGCATGGCGATTGTTCCACAACTGTACAAAAGGAATATATTTATCAGATATTATTGCAGCTTACTTTCGTTTTAATAATTATGATAAATGGCAGAGGTATTGACACTAAATTGAAGTAATATTTATATAACAATAAAAAATTATATATTTGGCAAGCATGCAAAGCAAGGCATAACATACCTTTACTACATAGTATATAATTTTTTTAAAAGTATGTATTAAAAAATTATATTGACTTAAATTACCTTCATAGCTTTACCTTTGTTGTAACAAATAGGTCATTACGTGTGACTATCCCTTCTTTTATCTTATTAATTATTCCTTCGCCCACTTCTTCCTCATTTTTGTACATAGAAGCTGTGTCTATATGATGATACCCAACATCAATGCCACATTCAACAGCTTTCCGAAAATCACCAGTTTCCCATTTCCGCTAAAGAACGTATTATGCAGGGTAAATTAACTTCATTAAATAATATTTAATAAATATGAGAAGAATGGGATAGTGAGGAATCCGAGGTTTCCGAAATGTATACTTTGATGAAGATTAGAAAAGATTGCACCATAACTTCAAAATCGATTTTTGATTGAATAAATTTTACGACACGGGCGGGACCTAATCCCGCAACCGAAACGTTCCGTGTATAATGCCAACATGGGAAAAAATTAAAGTTTCCAAAAATGTATTGGTTTTTGTCTACTCTTTTTTCAATATTTCTTGTCTTCGAACTGTAACCCACAAAAGGTTACTGAGGTTAAATTTCCAGTATATAAGTAATTTTTATTTAACTGAAATTACATTTCACTTACCGCATATGTTCCTAAACCGAGTATAGGCATTTGCACACCATTGTTTAGTCTTACGTTTGGAACTTTGGGAGGCATATTCTATTCTAGGCTTTAAATAAAGATAATATAATCTTTTTTAACAACTTTATATTTCTGAGGGTTGTTAACTTTTAATCCTTTTACAATGTTCCCAAAAAATACGTAGGTTTATCTTACAGTGATAAGAGAATATGAAGTTGTTTTAAAGTTCATAAAAAACTTTTAGAATTGCTCAAGGTTAAACTAGGTCAACAACGATGATATGAATGACAACTGACAACTACTGCCGTCTGAAATAAGTATAAAATATTTAACTTGACACTGGCAAATAGTTAGTTCTTAATTGACTGATACTTGTATACTTCTTCTTCTTCTTAATTTGATGGCTTGACACTTGTTTAGCAATGTGTCACAAGTAGCCAGCAGTAATAGGTGTAATCACTAATCAGTAGTCAAGTGACAGTAATTGTCACATTGCAGTAAAGTTATATTTCTTGTTGTTTAATAAAACAAGTTGGTTTGATCATTTTATTTATATAAATTAAAATAAATACATAATAATTATCACTTCTCACAATGGAATCGATGGATGTTGACACTCAAAGCGATCCCTCCCAAAGTATCATACAGTTTTTAGAAGCGAATATTCCCAAATCGGACATACCAAATATAAGAAACGAGTTGAAAAAAGATTTATTACTTGGCAAAACGAAAAGCAGAGTAAAAAAACAGAAAAAGAGAAAACCAAAATTATTCACTCGTAAGGAGAAAAGAAATCTTGGTTTTTATAACATTCCAAGAGAAAGTGTTAAATACAAGGATGTAGAGCCAATGCATTTATATTGGGTAGAATATATTAACCAAATACTTGAGTTGGACAAACCTATCCCTAATGAAACAAGTAAACGATGGGAGCAGTTCACTCAATCCTTATATAAAGCAGATTTTCATGGAAGTATGTTGCATGTGGTTCGCTCCAAATGTCCTAGCTATATTGACAAAAAAGGCATTTGTATAATGGACACAAAAAATACATTTAAAATAGTATCTCCTAATAATATTATAACAACTATACCTAAAAAGGAGAGTGTATTTAGCTTGTGTGTTAAAAATGTGAAAATAACATTATTTGGCAAACACCTGAATATTAGGCCAGCAGAGAGATCACATAAAAAGTTTAAAAGTTTGGTGCATCCAGATTTATACTGACAGAGTTATTAATTAATTAAAAAATTCATTATAAAAACTTATTGTAATATTCTGGCCCCACTGATAGAAAGCTGACTGTTGGAACTAGTTTATACGGATTAATCTACAACTGCTGACCATTGTTATCCCATAATTTTAAATTGTAATAAAATACATAACTTCTTTACATTAATGCTTTATTTAAAACCCTAAAAAATTAGAATATTTTTTGGAAAGCAGTTAAAATTGTAATATTTATATATTTTCGAGATATTAATATTATATTTTATTTATAATAATATAGTTATTTACTGTCTATAGTTTATGCGAGTAGTACACATTTAAATTAAACACTTTAACGGTTTAAAACGCGATATATTAGTTAAACTTATTTGAAAATGATTTTTAATTTCGGACCGACGTTTCGGATGCTTTGCAGCAGCCGAGGTCACGTGGAGAGTGGACCGTGACCCGGGGTTTCGCCCGAAACGTCGGGCCGAAGTTAAAAATCATTTTCAATTAAGTTTTCTTTCATACATATTTTTTGGGTATCTTGAACCATGTTCGCGCCGTAAGCAATGGAAACCCACAAGGATGAATAATTTTCCCCGTTTTTCCACATTTGCCGCTGTTTCTTCGCTCCTATTAATACATCGCGATGTCTTTTACGTTCCTCGATAAATTGTCGAACCAAATCAAAGCAGAATTTTTCAATTCGAACCAGTAATTTTTGAGATTAGTGCATTCAAACAAACAAACATTTCAGCTTCATATATTAGTATAGATAAGCAATACGATGCCACAAATGTGCCACAGACAATAATTGATAAAAAAGAATAAACCTCTGTCAATTGTCAAGCAACCACTGAATAGTTTTGCCAGCAACATTATTAAATTACTTTGAATTATCTACATATTTATTTTGGAGTTAACCAAATATATAAAACAGTAATGGCAAACAACTCTGAAGATCCTGCAATTTTGGCACATCAATGTTACTTAAAAAAGGATTACGCCTCCGCTTTACAACATCTAAATGAATTGGAAAATCTTGTTGGAAACGATGTTGTGTTACTTAAACGTATACACCATAACAAGGCTGTAGTAGAACTAGCTGCAAGTGACATGAAAAACATCGATAAGTTTCAAAATTCTATAACTGAATGTGTCGGTGTTAAATATCCAGATGAGGAACTCGAGGGAACGGCTTCACCTTTTGCGATTTACAACTATGCCGTCCTTTTGTATCACTCCAGATACTATTACCAAAGTACAGTTATACTAGAAAAGTTGCTGTTATCAAAGACAATCAAGGACAAAACATTACTACATCATGCCTTAATTCTCTTATTAGAATGTACATTGTGCAGACGGTCTTATGAAAAAACGATAGAAATAGCCAATTGTTATGGTGACACATTTAAACCAAATGATGACCTAAATAATGTCTATCAACGGCTTGTCTGCAGAGCACAAGTTTTTCTAGGACAAAAGTTTACATTGAAACCAGACTCAATAGAAAATATTGTAATAATAGCACAACAACAATATGTAAGTGGTAACATTAATGAATCTGCAGATACACTTGGGATGTATAAAGTTATAAAGACAACTTATAATACTAGGAGTGAAGGTGAAGATATATGGGCTGCAATTAATAATAATCTAGGTGTTATCTTTTTGTCAATAAAAAAGCCATATTTAGCTGCAAAATATTTCCAAAACGCTTTAAAGGAACATTTTAAGACACTGGAGGCTGAAGATATTCAGAGACTAATTATTTGTAAAGATCGTCCAATATATATCTACAATCTTGGCTTAGCTTTGTTAGCAACAAAAAATATAGAAGGTGCTTTTGAGTGCCTTGTAGAAGCTGCCAGACATTATCCAAACAATCCCTTGGTTTGGGTACGGTTAGCCGAGTGCTGCATCAAAAAATGCTGCAATGATGAGGTACAGAAATTTACTGTTAAAAAACTAGGAAGTGGATCTCATACAAGGGTTCTTGTTGCAAGAGAAAAAGAAAAGTACTCATTAGCTGGTGAATCATTTGCAATACCATCTTTATCTCTAGAATTTGCAGCCCTCTGCTTGAGAAATGCTATAACTTTACTTCCAAATGAGGATGCCCCGATTGATGCAACACATCCGTTTATACAGGCTCCACCAGGGCCACCTATTAATTGGAAGCAGAGGTGTGAGTTGAAGAATTCTATTCATGTCCTCCAAAGTTATATATTTTTACATCTCCAAGATCCATTGGCAGCTTTAGTTAGTGCCAATGAATTGTTAAGCCAAACAGATGCATTAAAAAGTCACATAACTTGGGCACACATATATGCTGCCGAAGCACTAATAATCCTTGATAAGACTGTTGAAGCAATAGAACATTTACAGCCTACAATAATTCAGGAGCTTGTGTCTGGATTTCCAGATCAAATGAGAGATATTATTGGGGTTTCAGTATGGGCTAAGGCAGCAGTGTGTAATATATTAAGAGGTGACCTTTTACAGGCTAGAAAGATTCTACAACAAATAAGCTCATCAAAAATATTGCCCTTACAAATGTATGTAGAAATCTGTTTGGGAAATGTAGAAAACTGTCATACAATATTACGTAAAATACGCTATACTCATGTATCATAACGAATGATCAATATAAAGTATTTTACTTAATTCTCGTTATTTTATTTGTCAACAAACTTTTAACCGTTAATCCTGTTAACTTCCTAAAATAGTTTTAACAAAAGTGCAGTAGATTATAGTAATCTAGAATGACATGAGCAATATTCATGGCCTTCTATACGAACTGTCATTTGTCAATAGGTTTTGAACGAAGTGTTGACTATGGAAGTATTTTATTTGAAAATATAAAATAATGCGACTGGCCTAACTTGTAACTTATTAATATAATCGTTCTATGTGATATGTTTAACAAATAGTAATGCTTTATTGTGCCGAACAGCGTGATTTAGATTTTACTAACCATGTAGTAAATATTTAGTAACAATGTCTAGGAGGTGGATATTTTTATTGGCAGCGGTCGTGGTATCGATACACTTTTCAATAATAATATTTATGTTGAGCCCAATATATGGGATCAAGGGCAGTTTGTATGGTGGCTATTCGCACCTTGGATTGCGGCAGCCAAGTGTCAGTTGGTGCAAAGAACTTAGATTGCGAATTCCACCCTCCTCTGTTGTCGCTCTTGTCTCCTACCCTGGCAGTGGAAACACTTGGCTGAGATACCTTTTACAACAAGCAACTGGTATTTATTTAAACATACTATGAATGGGGACACTCATTTTCAGAGACAATATAAAAAAATAGTTTCAATTTAACTTTCCTGTTGCTAAAAGTTGTTGTATCTTTTTGTTTGATGTTTTTATATACTTATTACATATATTATAGGAATAATGACTGGTTCTATTTATATGGACTATGGATTACGGGTGCATGGATTTCCAGCAGAGAATGTTACTAACGGTTCAGTATTAGTTGTAAAAACACATGAAGGTCCACCCTCAGACAACAAATTTCAAGCAGCTATACTTCTAATAAGGAACCCGAGAGATGCAATTCTAGTAAGTTTTTATTAAACATATTGTAGCTGTGAGTAGAGAGATTTTTATTCATTAATTAATTTTAGTTGCTGCTAAAAAGAATTTGCTTTGTATGTTTAGGGTAAAAAGGATATTAAGAATGACTGTTATGACATTATAAGTCATTTGTCAAATTTTTTAACATATTAAAGAAAATTGTAAAATTATTAAAATAAGTATTATGATTTGAATGCAAATAATCTAACAGCTTATTTTATTTTAATTTGCAGCGTGTTGCCTTGTCGGTGATGCTTGTAGATACACAAAGCATCTGTGCACTTTTTTTATATAATATGAAATTCAGTTTGAGTATCTTCTGATTAAGGTTAGATTTTTAATTTGTTTCATTACTTCCATACTTTAATAGTTTTAAATGCATGTTTCATTTGTCACCACCGTATGGAAATCTTTGAGTTATTAAAATGCATTTACCTTTTTAGGCAGATTTCAACAGAATACACAAGGGCCACATTGGTACAGCGCCAAAATCGGCATTTAAGCGAAGAACTAGAGAGCATAAGTCTGGTAAATTTTGTCTCTATTATTTTGAAAAATGTTTAAAAACATCATGAAATGATAAACTTATAAACCATTTAATTTAAATACACAATAGTTATTTTTGGTTGATGTTTTTCAGACTGGGCGACATATGTATCTGTAGAGCTTGGAACATGGGAGAATACACACAAACTGTGGCTGACCAAGTTCTCTGGTGCCATCTACATTGTGCATTATGAAGTATTAGTTCGAGACACAAAAAGAGTATTGTATGGGATACTAAATTTTCTCAATTATACAGTTACTGAGGTTGGTGCTACTCTCCTATGTTTTCTTTGCATGTGATTAGTTGGTGTAATCTAAAGTAATGATATATATACATTAATTCAGTACATAACAATGTAGAGAGAACTTAAAATGTATGAGGTACTTTAAAAAAAAGTCCTTGACTTAAGGTTTAAGTTTATAAAAGACAAGAAATTGAGTCTAAATTACTAAAGAGAGTAATAAACATCCATACATTCATTTATCTTTGCATTTATTATATAGAATTAGTAGGATTCTATTTCTTTATCAGGATGATATGAACTGTGCGTTAACCAACAAAGAAGGCATATATCGAAGAAGGAAAAAGCACAAAGACTTTGATCCGTTCACTCCAAATATGTATGCAGCACTTCAAACCGTTCAACAAAGAGTAATATATATGATCACAGATTATCAAAGAACTCACAATCAAACTTATTGAAGAATGCTTCATCATACAATTGAAATTAAAAAGTGCAAATTAAGTTAGTATTTATTGTACAGATAGGTGTATAGGAAGAAGTTTGCTACCTAGCTAAGAATAATTTGTTTGTTTATGTTTTAATGAGTGAAATTTCAATAATTATGTGGCTAGAATCTTGTTAAATAACATGAGAATAGATTTTTTTAATAACAAATGTGTTATTAAAAAAATTTACACTCTTTACTTTTTCTACTTCGATTATTTCCAGAAATGTAGTGCAACACAAAACTAAGGATTACAAGACTAATATGTAGTTAATTTAAATTGTCAAATTATAAAACAGGATAACAGTATTTTTAACCAATGCCGTTATGTATATGTTATTTAGAAATAATTGACATATAATTATATATATTTGTCTAGTTAAACGCGCTAAACACTATTAATTAATGAATGTTATAAAGATTGTTGTTAATGTTATAGAAATTTTAAGAGCAATGATAGTGAAAACCCCATAAGAAAGTTCCTGTTTTTAGGATAATCTTAATTACTCTTGTAAATATAATTTTTATTGTTGCTTTCAGTGTTTGCAATTATACATCTCATTTGAATTTGTACGCACATATAAAGGCTTTATTATTTATTTTTAGACTAGTTGCAGTAAAATCGATGTATAAATTATTGTATAAATAAACACTAAAAATTTTCAAGTTACCATAGCAAAATGTAAAGAAAGCCTAAACTTGAATCTTAGTAAATATAAAAAAATACAGTATTATCAAATGCCAAATTATTATATTTATAATAACTGAAAATTTGTATATACGGTATGTACATTTTCTTATTTTGATAATGTCTAAAACCTCGAAACATCGAATCTGTTTTAAGTATTTTTCTATTTACATTTAATAAATATTTCTTATTCTTTTACTCCCATAAATATAAAATACATTCTGTAACTTCTCAATTTTTAAAGTCTGTTCTAACTCTGGTGTACAAAATATTAAAGTTTGTACGTATTTCAAAAAATGTTTAAATAAAAAAGATGTTGTTTTGCATTGGTTGTCTTACTTACGTCAACATATTTTAACAACTTTATATCACACAAGTTTTTTTTCGGACTGCACTATAACAACATATTAGTGGCTCAATGGTCATAGCATTGGGTTGAATAGATTCGAATCATGAAGAATAGTTTCGGGTAGGTAGGGCACAAATCTCACAATGGGTAACGTGATTTCACTTTGCAATATTTAGCAAAGGATATATTTCACACAATTAAGTAACAACGCGTCCATTATAACGCTACGTAATGCGTTATGCGAGTGATATAGGAATATGAATAAAAAACAGAAGTTGATAAAACTAAATACGCTTTATTCCGCATTTCGTCAATATTCCTTGGTCACAAACAATACAGATGGAATCAAACTCACTCCGAGCCTTTGTTTACAATATAAAATATATGCCAGTAACAACGATTCTTCGCTTCACAAATAAATTACGCATTTATATAAAGCGGTGAGGACCTTTCGTGTCTTTTTAGTGGAATTGATTTAATTTGAACGCTTTGCAACTGAATTTCATTACCAAAGTTTTAATTTGAATTTCATTGAGACCATATTGTTTATTCATGTAAATTCCCACTGTATGTAATCGGGATAAGTTGGGCTTAGTAACAATATAAATTGCATAAACTCAACGACCACGCTTAAATTATGACCAGTAAAATTTAACCTCTAATAACATGTTATTAAACTCTTAATATCATACAAAATTATCATCAATATCACAAAAAATCGATATAATCATTGCTAACCCTCGATACATTATACGCGAAACGGAAAAGATCATTGAAATCTTTTAATAATACATAAACCGTTCTGAAAAGTACGTCGCTACATCGGTTTGGATAAACTTAATGCAATTTACAAAGCGACAAATCATAATTTACAAAAATAAAGCTGGGATTGTTCTAAACTGAATACTTTCAATTTAGAAGAATCTCGAAAAAACCTCGACCGAAAATAACTGTACAAAAACTAATAACAAAAGAAGTTATTATACAAGGAAAACAAACTTACAAATTGTCTTAGAAATAACTGTTCCTTCAGTGGAAGGCGGGCCACAGTATCTAGGTCAGTCTGGTGGCGTCGCGGCCATAACCACGTCTAACAGCCTACCTACATTATCCTACAACGATCACCCCGACCGATACTTTCAAATTTGTCCAGAAAGCAGGTCTGGGGTGGTACCATTACCTATTCATCCAAACATCAATTCATTCCTGTAGGGTCCCATTCATGATCTGTATAAATCAGCTGTCTGACGTGTATAAGAAAGTTTTTACATACAACAGTTTCTTGTCATGGTTTTAAAAATTCCATCCGCAATAAATTCAAGACCTGACTAGCATCGAAACTGTAAGTATTGTCTGGAAATCATGTTCTAGGTAAGCATTACTGCCTAATTTTGATATTAATAAAGGGATTCCTTCGTGCAAACACCAATAACATAATATGTTGAAACGGTTAAGTAAATATCTCAATGACAGTTGATCTTTCGTCAAAGGTATAATCTCTAGTTATAAAACTAGTTGATAAGTAATTAAGGAACAAAAAAGCCTTATATTTTCTTGTTGGTGTAAAACTTTGGATTCAATTAGTCACAATTTTTGCATCTAAATATTAACTAGACACTATCAAATGTTCGTCATTTCAATACAATATTTGTACAAAATTGAAAAAGCGATGCTCTATTAGGTATCCGATTATTGCTATTAAATGAGGTAAAATGTTTATTCGATAAGTCCAATAAGCGCATTATAAATTCATTTATCATGGCATTCGTCAATATCGCACGACATCTGCGTAAACTTCATCGTTCGTTATATAACAGATGATATTTATATTCGTAATAAATTCACATTTTAGGGGGGGTTAGAATTGGTCACGTTTCACGACAGTTCTGTATGGCTCTAAAACCAAAAATAGATGTCGTCTCTTGTATGCCAATTAAACGAATCCCCGTATTAAATTTTTGTCAGTATTGAATTTTGACAACGCACACAAATGAAAAGAAAAACTAACTGATAAATGGAATTTGGTTATTCAGGTAAAGTTAAATCTAGTGATCGCGACTAGTCTTTATCGAATCGTACGACATGTTGTTTCTTGTGGTACGTGACTTGCACTAGTGGGGGCCGATATTGGGTACTTTGAACGTGTGTTTGAGGTCACCGGAGCGTCCTGCAACGGCGACACACCCGCACGGAGCCTATCTCGCCCCAAGAGCTCATCTCGGAGCAGGAACCGCAGAATATACCGCCGCATCGTCTAGAAGTAGAAGTTCACATATAAAAAAAATGTTATTGAAACAATATGTTATAGTTGTGAAAAGTTTAAATATTTTTTTTACGGTTTAAATCGCGAAATGTATTAGTTAAACTTGTTAAGCGTAGCACTATTTACTTCGATATAAGATAAACCTTGATCTTTATTTTATTTATTTATATAACTTTATTAAGAACTTCAAGAAAACATAAAAATTAAACTTTAACAGTAGTGGTAGTATCCGAAAAATACATAGGCTTAATTTGCTTGAAGGCGTTTACGAAAAAGGTCTTGACCAGTTCATTTAACATTTTTATATAATTATTAAACATAATAAACTAACTAGAAATGCCAACATTGAGATAATCACCTGCAGTGATGTCGGCGACGCGCAAGCCAGAACTGGTTACGGCAATGTTGGCACCGAGGCGCGGCGCTGTCTGGTAGCCATAGAACCCCGCGGGCCTCCTCACCTACTTCTATTTCAGAGGCGCTACCACTGCTACTGCTACCACCACTACTGCCGCCTCCGCTGCTCGCTGCGGCTGTCTATAATGCCAGCTTTGGGTTAATGGACAAAGGTTTTTTAAATAAACTATAACTGAAATATATAACGTAAGAATCACTTCTAAGAGGTATGTAAAACCTGGATTGTTAACGTAATTCTATTTGAAAATGGTAATCCACTTACCCGTAGTGGTTCAGGTGTAGGCGGATCGTGAGTGGTATGAGGGGCGGGCGGTGAGGCCCGTCTTAGCGCCTCACGTGCTGAACGAAGCTGTCCACTCAGTTCTTCTACCACTTTCTGTTATGCAAACCAAAGTAATGTGTATTAATCGTAAATAAAATACTTTTTACGGTTTTTTACAAGAAAATTATCTTAAACTCGACCCGACGTTTAGACTGCAACTTTACTATAGTCTACGTGGTGTTAAAAATTCAAATTTAATTTAAACTTTTACATAGACAAACATTAACGACTAACACTAACGTCTGTCTAAGAAATTGTTTACTTTAACTATTCTACATAAAGTCATGTATACTAATAATTAATTGACTGCGAAGACTTACCTTTTGATAAAGTATGATCTGGTGAAGACGAGCTTGCACGGGTTCCTCAGCAGGTGGTAATCCGTCAGCGCAATCCCTGTCTGCGCGTGAGCCAGCGCCGCACACACAACGCGCGCTGCGCCACGCCTCGCCAGCACCCGCAGCCGCTCCCATACCACCAGAAGTCTCGCAAACTCCGCACCAGCACGCACCATTTAATATCGAAGCTGAGAAATAAAGGAATAGTATGTATATGTAATATTTAAGCTATGGACCGACTAACATTACAAAATTTTTAATCTTAGTTTAAGGCATTCTTCCAAAAGGACTAGGTCGTGAAGGACTGTTCTAGAAAGCAATGTATAATATAGACTATGCAGCCCAATTGTCAAATAAGTCATAGATACAAAATATTCAAAAAATAATTAGTCATTTTGAAGCTATATTTTTGACACATAATTCGTGTGGATCTATATAATTGTATCTGTTTTAATTTCAAATCTTATAGTATATTAAACAAGTAGTTTTATTTTTTTGAATAGTTAAGTATTATAGCTAGGGCAAGCTTTTTAGTGTTACCTGTAGCGCAATGACAATGGGCAGCGCGGCGTGGAGAGGCGGGACACAAAGTAAGTTGACTGGGCACACGCGATCCCGTGGCAGATGAGACACCCGCTGCTGCAGCCGTTTCGGCACGTTCACCATCGCTTTCAGAGCTAGCGCCACTTGATGATACAACACCTATAAGTCAGGAAAAATATGTGAGTACTTGTTGTATATAGAGGCTATACGTTTTATTTATGCAATAAACAAGGGAAGACGGAATGTGACCGGATTTAAAATGCAGGTATCCCGAATACATTTTATGGACTGCCAATTGTCCTCGTAGAATAGTTATTTTGGGAGTCAAAATTTGTTTTTGCAAATCTCCTCTTTATCTACATAAATTATAGTTAGACTAGCTGTTACCCACGAACGACGTCGTGAGTAACAGCTAGTCTTTAATATGTTTATATTTATTATTATTATGATGCGGAAATTTTTAAATCATGTAAAGAGGATTCATAGTTTTTGGGTATCTTGAACCGTTTTCGCAGCGCTTTTTTTACACTCACCATTCAATTCGACTTCTAAAAACTTAGCAGTAATGTCAACTATTCCGTTGACGTCTCCGTTGCTCACACCGTTTTCTCGGTTGTGGTTCGTATTACCATTCACTACATTATGGTTGGCTATGTCGCCCTCGGTGGAATTGTGGTTGTCTATGACCGGAGTGTCTCTGTCCGAAGAGTTTCTATTGTCAGTGGTGGGCGTGTCTCTTTCGGAGGAACTTCTGTTATCGATGGCTTGTTCTAAACGTGCGGCGGCAGGTTCCAACCGATTCTGCGGCGAGTTCTCTGGTATATCAAAGCCGGTGGAAGACTGATTGCTTGATTCGGATATAGATCTCCATGTGATGCTTATGTTCCTTGTCCGTGCTTCTCTTGATGTCTGAAACAAAATATGATCATTCTCTTTATTACCTTATTCAGTAATTTAACTATGTACTACTATGAAGCGTCGAGCCATAGTTAAAATCATTTGTAAAGTTTAACATACATATCGCGTATTAAATCGTAAAAAGTGTTTTATTTATGCAATATAAATAGTATATAAATATAGTGTTTTTATATAGAATGAAAAACATCGTCAAAAAGTTAAATGCAATAACGTAATTAGATAATGATTAATCAAGAAACAAAAAATCCTTCAAATACGTTTTTACCCTTTCTAACTAATTTGTTTAGCATTGTAGGAAAAGAGACAACACTATATACGATAAGCTCTTTAGGAACTAGCTTTGAGTATATAGAAAAACAATATGGCGTTATGGACACGTGTATTTTTTTATGATAGAGAAGGACACATAAGTATTGCGTTCACTTGATAGCAAGTAGTAAGACCTCAGCCATAAATGTGGTCTAAACAAGATACGTTGTCTTTTTAACTGTGGACGATGGTTCTTGACCACCAATCCATCCATTCCAGATTTCCAGACAAAAATTCAAAATGTTTCGGAAAAATATATTTTTTTAGAACAATGCTGGACCTAGTTATTAGCCATACCTCGCTACCATTACAATAGCCAATCAAGATATATATGTTGTAGGATCAGACCTTACAAAGTTTTGATTTAGCATATTCTGCTACTTCTAGCAATACTCACATCAGCCATTTCTATAACGTCTGTGTAGAGATCGAAAACATTTCTATCTTCAGTGGCGTCTGGAGAGCCACTGTCAGTCACATCTACGCCTACGTCACTAGCTACACCTACATCACCGATGATCTCGTTGAGCAGGGCGCTGGCTTCGGGCTTGTCGGTGACTAGCGCCAGTTCTCGCTCCAGCGACGACGAGTTGCTAGCGATGTCGCGCGATTGGCTCATAAAGTGGTCCGTGTGTAGTTCTACCTGCTGTGTAAAAAACAATTCCTTGGTTATTTATTGTATCCTGGTACTTCAAGGTTTTAACTTTTTAAATACGAGCCTTCACGTATGTTATATAAAATTTTGGCTTTAATCGTCACTATCTCAAATTGTTGAACTTAAAAAAAACAACTTAACACAAACTAGGAACTATTAATCAATGCGTTATGTTGTTATGTACATAGTTCAATAAAACACCTTAACGATTCAAAACGCGAAATATATATATATATATATATATATATATAAAACCGTTAAAGTGGTTTATCTAAATGCGTTATGGTATAGTTTAATGTTTTTTCTTTTTATAAGAACCGGATGAGCTTTAGATTTAGTTAATAACAAAAATGCTCTAACCTTATATTTACATTTGTTTTTCTTAGGATATGATATGCACATATTAGTACTTTTAACTAACCTCCTCTAAATCGGCGTGGGTCGTGTGTTCGATGTTAGCTGGCGGCAACGCGTCCACACAGCTGTCAGAAAGAGCGGTCTCACATTCAGTAGAAACTCGTTCATCGTTAGCTTTGCCATTCATTGCTAACAGCTTGCTGTAAATAAGAAATTATAGTTAGATATTAATACAGTTTTGGCCCAAGTTTTGGTACTGTGTGCTTCTTAATTGCATAAACACACACACACACAATTATGATATAGGAAACGGATGTAAAATCGACTGATCATATATAGAGCTACATTTGGAGAGACAAAAATCCTATTTAAATACAATACGTATGTATCATCCCTTTAACTTACATAATGTCAGGTGCAATATTGGGATCACTGCAGCGTCGCTGTGCTGTCCGTTTCTCTCCTTCATTTAAAAGATTATCACAGGATCGCGTTTTCGTCATTAAACCTGAAAAAAAGAAACACTGGTAAGTGATAAAAATAATTTCTGATTTTCAAATCAATTTTAAAAAATGGGATCTATAGGTAAATATTTTGTTGTTTCCTTTTTTTGAATACAAATGTAAGTAATAACAATATCTATATACCATTATGGGGTAAAGGACTTGTCCTGAGCACGGGGGCAGGTTCAAGAGACGGTTCACGGGTTCCGTCTCCGCCCACCAATCCCCACCACACTTGCATAGAACTTATACTGCAGTCTGGCAATAATTCTTCCTGAAATCAAACAAAGTTATACTTTTTTAAAGTTATAAAGAAACAAAGAAGTTTCAGTACTAGGTTGATTATTAATTTGAAGCATACGTAATAATTGCTTGTTTTTTTATTAGTAATTATTTACCTGTATAGGCTTTAGTTAATTATAAAGTGTTCAGGGCACTCACAGAGGTCTAACCAAACACAAATTTTCGATGAATAGACACAAACCTGCGTTGGTGTTATAGTACGGATAAAGATGCTTACAAAACAGGCAACGCAAAATTTCTTGCCTTAAATACTGTCTGTAGTTTACGCGAATAGTGCATATTTAAATAAAATACTATGACGGTTTAAAACGCGATCATTTAAATTTCTTGCTTTCTAAAAGCCTTATTCTACTCTATTTAGTACTTCAAATGTCATTGCACCTGATCGTGGACGTATAGATGGTTGCGGTACGCGGGCGCGACCAGTAACTGCCAAACGTGCGGCCCTGGGTCGCCGGCCAACGCGCGCTCGCGTCTGCTGTTGCACAGGAACGTGCCGAACATGCACGAATGCACGTGAGTCGCCAATTTGATCTGCAATATTAATATAGCTCTATAAATATATTAATTTGAAGGAGTCACTTTGGCAAATATATACACAGAAAAGTTTTATTTTAAAAACTTAAAACTTTTTGCGGCCCTTGATGGCATTGCATAATATAAAAATTTATGTAAATTGTAAAAAAAATACGGTGTCGTAATTTTTTTTTAAATCAGATAGATTTTTCATTTACCATATTTACTATACATCGCTAGTCGGTTATTGGTTACGTCGGGACGCTAGAGATACAGAAAGATGAAGAAAACATGTACAAAACCATAAAAATAAGACTGTGTATATATTGTCTGCAATTTACGCGAGTAGTACACGTTCAAACAAAACATTTTAACTGTTTAACACGCGAAATAAATTAGTCAATTTATTTTTACTACAGCCCGACATTTTGGGTGCTTTTCAGCAGCCGAAATGTCGTCATCCCCCCAATAACTAATATATTTTGCGTTTTAACCGTTAAAATATTTTGTTTGGATAAGTATATTATATATAATAGTTAAATTATAGAGCAATTTTCTAGAAGCTCAACTGCATAATACAGTTACATACACCTAATAAGAATTGTAATAAGTTTAAGTTACTTATGAGAATTACATTTTAATTATTTATAAGTATAGTTCTGTTTTAGATGGCCAAAGTTTTTATTCGTGTTTTTTATTATTTATTACTTTTGTTAATAGTATATCTTATTAATTACTAACCAAATAAGCTTCGTTGAATTGGAAAGCGCAGGGGAACTGTAGCATGAGTTGATAGATAATATGTAACCACTGCAGGAATATAGGTGAACGCTCGTTAGGGTCGTCCCCGCCCACTTGGTGTCCGCAGCGCTCAGCGAACTTGTGTCCAAAGTCTAACCATTCACGTTCGATTAGCACCCGAAATCCCTATAACAACAGATGCATTGAATTATATAACCATTTCATTTAAAAAAATCCTAATAGCCATGAAATTATTACTAAAACAACCAGTAGCGACAAAAATGGTAATTTCTACGGTTTAAAAAAATCTATACTAATCTTATAAAACTGAAGACACATTAATCTCAGAAGCTAATGAATCAAATTAAAAAAATCTTTGTCGCTTAGACCGTTTATCGAGGAAGTCTACAAAACCTGAGGGAAATGTGGAAAAAAACGGGGAAAATTATTTATCTTTGAGGGTTTCCTTTACGTGCGCTGCGAAAACCGTACAAGGCACCCAAAAAGTATATGTCTATCTTTTAACAATCAAAACATCGAAATATTTCATATGCAAAAAACGTTTGCCAAGTCAGCTTGTAATAGAAAAATGCTTATTTGGTATGGTAAACATTTGGTATGTGTATATAATAATATCTTATCTTTTTGCTAAATTACCAAATAACAGAATACCAACGTGAAGTGTCCGATAGTAAGGATCCAGCAACAGCTGCGCAGTGGCGACTAACTGTGGTGTTCGATCCCACCCATCCGAACAGTGCACCAGAACTGGTCGGCCCGACGCAACCGCTCGTGCCACAACCACTGCACTCCGAAGTAGACCCGACAAGCACTGCAGCCATAATGTCCGCTCCAAGTTGCTGTGCCAGCTACGATACAAATCAACATGTAATAGAACACCTTTCTAATCTTCCTTTGTTCAGAAAAGAGTACAAAAATAAAGATCGAGTTTTTTTGGTAAAATTGGCAGTTTTAAACATATTCCGTAAATTTACAGCTGCGTATATACGTACAAGGTTGTTGTAAGCTGTATACATTTATTCTTACTATGCTGTGAAATCAGTTGCAAACTTGAGTTTGTGCTAAGACAACACTCACGACAATTGTTTGAAAAGTTTAATATATTTCACAGGTTATATATTATACATAAATTTTGTCAATCTAAAATTGATTTTAATTTATTTAATGCCAACATGTGCTGGTAAAAAATAATAAAGATTTTAAACTCTATAATTTCATCTTCAATGATTTTATTAAGTTGCAAGTGTTAAGGTTGAAATTACATTGTGCGAAGGTGTATGTATCGATAGGACCCAGTAGCTTAATTGGTTAGAGCAACAGCACGGAAGGCTGTGGACGACGGCTCAAGGCCTGCCCGAGGTGTAAATTTTTTCAATCTCATATAGAATTTTGATTCACCACATACTGTTAATTAATTAAATAGCCACCAACGCATCTCTAAGACCAGTTATGTTGAAGTCACATACGTATGTGTAGATAGAGAGTAATACTTACTTAGTCAAATCGGGTTCCGCCACCAATTCGCGCATCTGCTGGAAACTCTTGCGCACGTTGTGTATGTTTGGGAGGCTCATGAACTGGATGTCCGCGTCGGGATAGTATTGTGCGCACTCGGATCCACCCCCACGGGCGCGATTCGTCACGGCGGACGTGAAAGATCTCGCATCCACAATCAACAGTTTGAGTTGCTGTAAGAAAAAAATAATAATACAGGCATAATGGAAGGGTTCTAAGGAGTTTTTATGGACGTACTGTATTTTAAGGTACTGAAGCCGGGACGCATAAATAGCTAGACGGTTTCTTTATCGGTTGTGACTCATTTAATGAAACGATATGTGTAAAAGAAGGGGAAGAAATACTATTTTGTTTAGCGCAGTATACCGTAATAAAACTTTTAACAAATTCCTAAATTAAAATCAAGTTTCGATATCCCACGCTTAGTATTACAATGACCGAATTAAAAAAAAAACACTTTTTTGGCAAGTCGTATAAAACTATGAAGATGGCGTTATTATAGTAGTGTCAGTGCATTAAATTTGGAGTTAGGCACTCTAATACTAAGCGTGCGATATGTTCTTTCTTGACAAACGTCATTTTAATCAAGAATTCTTTTAGAATATCATTGAGGTCATTAGTTGATATGATACCACATACTTATATATCTAAAGAATTTGGTAATACAGTCCGATGAAGGCATAACTGTTTCTTTTTTTTGATTGCTCCTATATGCTCGCATATACCTTATTAGGAGTAGCCCTATCCGCGTTGCAAGCGCTAACGAATGCAGCGAGTAATCCTTCATCCTCGCTGGACCTCCAGCCGAACCAGCCCACCTCGGGTTGTGATGAACGTGCTATGACAGCGCCAGAACCACGGTGACGCCAAACGACAGCCGGTACACGACGCATTGTACGAAACCTATGGCCGGCAAATAATCAGTTGAAAACTACACAAGATTTTATTTGTTTTTTATGAATATTTATAAAATTATTTAAATATTATCATTGACATTTTACATAGTCATTCGGCCAAGGTAACAATTATAAAAAAAGATAGTAAAAGAGATTGTCATAACATATTGAACGTTTAACCATAACTCTTTTGGTCCTTCGAGCCGGAATATATTTGTTTAAAAAAGTGAAATGCGGGAGACACGGGCATTAATGGGTTGAATAAAATGGATTATGACGTGATATACTATATACGTATATAGTACAATTGGTTAGGACCAGCAACTTGGAGTGGACAAAGTTTAAGACCCTTGTCATCGATTTATCTAAGTAGATGTTTTATTTATATAAGTCAAGTATTATTGTTGTTTATGATTTTCAAGGGCTTAAACATACCGTGCTACAGATTCGAGCTGCTCGTCGCCTATAGAAGCGGGAACAATGAGCAAAGGCGGATAAGAGGAGCACAGTTTATACTCTGCGTTTACTGCTGTTACACGCCACGGACCATTTGTCGAAAACCCGAGTCTTTCCAACTGAAAAGTTACACAATATGTTTTTATAACTTTAACACTATTATAACGCGGAATCACTTATTACCCTAATTATCATTAATTAAAATATGACTTTGTAAAACAAACTAGATTATCGAAATACCAATCCCACCAGTAATTCATTTATAATTTATATAACACTACCACAACAACAACTATTAGTTATTAGAATTGTAAATACGGGAGGCTCTCCAGCAATAAGGTCGCAATTACCATTTCATTTTTAACCTATTTTAATATTACATTTTAATAGTTTTTTTTATATATATATATATATTTTGTATTTAATAAAACATAACATACAAACGTACCAAGCCCGTATAGAGGGAATTCTCACCTCGGGTCCGAACCAGTGCCTCTGTGGAGCCTGCGATGCCCTCATCAAAGCTCTGTGCACCGAGGAAGGTGGTTGTTCCTTCGCCCACGCAGCGTAAGCGGCCGCAAATATCTCTTGTAACGACGTAATGGGTGCCACGGACGTACTCAGTCGCCTCCACCATTCTAGGCATTGCTCGCTGGTGTTGAATGTAAATCTAAAACAAGAATTAGTTAACTTCAATTTCAACATTTTAATTAAACAATGACAGCCGTGAAGTGCCTTTATTTCAGTGTGAAAATTGGTATAATGTAAACAGGTAGCTCCTTTTAAAAATTTTAAATGATCGATGTATTCATGTAGTGTTAAAGTAGCATAAAATGATAAAGAAAGTATCATTTTTTTAATTCAGTTAAATAAAAAATCATTCTTCTTAACCCCAAGCATTGTCATCACTTAAATATTGATTAAGTATTGACATTTGTAATAATTTCAAGTAGTTTTGTATTAAATAAATAAATTTCTTTTAAAAAATGTAATTTGGTAGGGATGGGACAAGAAAATCATTCAAGTTTAAAGCATTGAATAAGCATAAAAATCACGATCTTTTTTACGAAGCAAAACTTTTTATAAGAACAAATTACTTCAGAACTTACTATTGTATTTAAAATAAATATTGTCCTACACGACAAATGTATTTGAACAAAACATCTATTCTGAGATTTCTCAGCCTTCGCAGGCTCTCCATACGAGACGTTCTTAAAGAGTAAATATTTGTTCAGGCATAACTAGAGAATGTGTGTAGAATGTTTGTCTAATCGACTATTGTTACGGAATTGCAGTGTTTGTGTGACATATTTGCAGTTAATGTTGCCTAAGAAGCAAAGAATTTTAGTAAATGAAAATTTGACAATATTTTGATGTTTACTCTTCGATACCATATAAAGGGACATATTTAATAGAAATAAGGCAAAAAAAATAAAATAATAATTACTTTACTAAATAATAACGAGAGTACCATTTTATGTATTAAGTAGTGTTGCCCAAACTGTCTTGGTCTTGCAGTCTTGGTCTTGTTCTTGCGTTTTTGCAACCAACCGCGTATTTTTAGCAAGACCAAACCAAGACTGACCGTCAAACTTGAGCAAGAACAAGACATAGCCTGCAAGACTCTGCGTCTTGCATAGGACTAGCGCTATTTCACTGAGTGTTAGGTGTAACAGTTCGGTGATAGGTGGTCTTAGGAATTCTATGAGACGCAAAAAACTGTTCAAAAATGAAAAACTGGACCTCGACACAAAACGAATAAAAAAATTATTAAAATCAAACTGAGTCATGCATAGTTATGTTTTAACTGGCACTTTGATAATGCGGCATCAAAGGTTTTGTACTTACTTCTCAAAGAAATTTGCCGCTTTTCGGAAGTACATGGTTATATACACCCGGCGGCTTCTTTTGAAATCTAAAACAATCGTTGCCGCCGCCGATCAAACATTGACACTATTTGATTGCCGCCATAGGGCGTAGGTATACTCACGCATATTTCGAATTTTTTTACACGCTTTATATATTGTTTGATTTGCGCGGAATCATAGAGCCGTCACGAGGCGAGGCGGGTAGAAAGTAAGGAAATACTAAAAAAGGAATTATTTTAATTCTAGTCATTTCCAATTGAGCTGTGCTTCGAGTCTAACTTAATAATTGTTTTTACTAATTCTCGTTGTTTTCTAAAAACTATCACTGTACAATATATGAGTGACGAAGATTCAAATTATTCAGTCGCAGAGTTTGAGTCACAGATCTAAAAGACCCAAAAGCAAATTTGAGGAATTTTTCGATTTACTTCCATGGAAAACGACATAGGTCAGTTGATTTTTCGAATTTCTTATCAAATCTTCAGTTATTATTAATCGCTTGATCTTTACTATGGCTATATTCATTCAAGCTCACAATGTTCCAATTCTAATACGTTTTTCTAGGATTTAAAGTAAACTTAATAAATATTACTAAAGGTCTTGCAGCAAGACTTGCAAACCTGCTGCAACAAACCAATACCAAACTGGGAGCCACCAACCAAGCCAGGTGTGGCCACCAGACGCAAGCCGTTGCGTTTGGGACTAGTATTAAGGTTTCGAGTAGTGGTGAGGTTGCCAATGTTAAAGCTGTCTAAAAATAGCCAAATTTGTAAGATTAACTAATGAAATCAAATACATGAAAAGACGTGTCAAAAGTTATTTATTTAGTATGATCGACAGTCAAAAATTATCTGTCTGAATTAAAAATCAATTTAACTGAAATATTTCAACGGGCGGAACTAGAAGCGGCACCCGACGCGATCCGAGTCGCTACTGTAACGAATTGAGCTACCGTGCGTTGCCCAATCTCAACGTTAACGCTTAACAATACTTGTTAAAATGAGTAAAAGAAATTTGATGATGACGTGCGAGACACGGTAGTTCAATGGTTAGAGCAGCAGCACGGATCACTATAAATGCCGGTTCTAGCCCTGCCTGTGTCATATAATTTATAACCTAAAATACAGTTTTTATCTATACAATGCCATTATAAAAAAAATAATAAAGTCGTTCAAACGTTGGCTAACTAAGTTATTAAAGCAAGATCAATACGTTTCTAGGTCGTAGGTATGTGTAACACTTTCTTTATAATATGGTCACGTTATCAGACATTCGCTCCGATTCTAGCTAATGTTATCACTGCCATCCGCTTCGACAGGAACTACACGTACAGAACAATTAATATAATTGAGTGGGGCACGTGCTGGTCATATTAATAAGTCACATAACAATGAATACACGATAGACTATACCATTGTATGCCTATGTCTGACAAGATATACTTTACATTCTGTAATACATGTATAATATAATTTATTATCTCACGACCCTTTGCAATAAAAATAAACTAAACAAGATTTAGGATGGCAGCCAACGGTGCAATAAATGTTAGACGTTTTTACGCACATTTAGGTCATTGTGTGAATGCGTCGCTTGCCTTTGAATTAATGATTAAAATATCTGTACATATCGATTATTTCAGCACGGTTTCGGTTACGAAACCACGACCTCAAATATTTTGTCATTCTACATACAATTAAAAGTAAATACATATAATGCTAAAATTCACTATTATGATAGTTTTGAAAAGAAACATGGGGTTCCCAAATAACGTCTAATCAAAATACGTTGTCTACATATTTTGACTTTGGGTATTCGGACATCCACAGATGAATCCGAAACGCAATTAATCTTTACGCACGGATTTTGCATCTGTAGTGTGTGTAACATGTAATATTCAGATTTCCAGATGAAGGATGTCCAATACGTTTTAGAGAAATTATAAATTGATTCGAAACCGGATAAAGTGGACCGAGTGGGGTTCGAACCCACGAGCAACCAAGCAGTGCATCCGCTCTCAAAAGAGTGTGATCGGTTTTTTAATACTAACATACATTATAAAAAATTAAATATCAAAATATATTATCTTGCTTGAAAGTTAAATGCAACGTGTTATCAAGAGTTCGTGAAATATATATAAGAATCAGTAAAGATACTCACTTGAGCTGTCTGCCGTGTTTGCATAGAATAATGAGGGTGAGCAGATCCTTGATCTCCAGTGCGTCGATAAGTCGTAGCGGGACTGACGAACCGGGTCCATTCCGACGGCGGGCCTGCAGGTGTACCCGATAGTTTGACATTGCAATCGTGCCGCCATCAGACGTCCGACCCACCCACTGCAAGGATCAATTCATAATTTAGCGAGGTTTGTAATTATGTAAATGGCTGGTCCTGACCTATACGCGAATTGCGGAAGACTTTTCATATGAATTGACTTAAAAATGTCAGATACGCAGCAGAGTTATACTTATATTAGCAAATGTAATTATTGTTTTGTGTTCGTGCCCCCCCCCCCCCCGTAATTTGTTACAACATATGCAAAATCTACTTAAAATTAATGTACAGTGCTCATCGTTCAATGAACCTACAGTTGACCAACGACCTCTACTTGCACATACATACATATGTAATATATATAAGTACACACGACACAATACATTTGCCTAATCAAGGAATACATTGACTAATACGAAGAATGTGACGTTTTGAATATACGAGGGGGTTATATCGGTCTCGTCGTAACAGTTAACACAAGAAAGGCAATGCGACGATATCTATGTTATAGAACGCTAACATTTTGTCAATCCATGTATATACCACATAAAGGTGGCCACCTTTAATGGTGCAAACCGATTCTTTATAGTCGTTGCGTGGATGTGGCGGCTTTTAGAGTCTAAAAAAATAACCTCACGAAAATAACCGCGATATAAATTGCGTGTTTGTCAAAGGAAAATTCGTGACCAAATTGAGAAACAGTATACAATTTTGTTTTATAAGAAAATAGTTATAAGAGTTATATAAACTCGTTTCCAATAGTACCTGGACGAATTCTCCGCAAATAGGAGCGAAGCCGGGGTGCAGCCCGGGTTCATCGTAGTGCGTACGAAGGCGGGGATAGAGGTCTGCTGCGCGGACGCGATGTGGTGGAGGCTCTGGTGGGGGCGGAGCCCGGTACCGCTCGCGTTCGCTCATCTCGCTGGACGCTGCAGCTGCCACCTGGAACCAAGAAAATCACATGACTAATGTAGGACATATGGGACTATTGGAAGGTGAAATGTTTGAGACATTGATGATGCGTCTATCTATGTAGGTAGATAAAAAATTATAGACTGACCACATTTTGCTCCTTCATTAAATTTAAATATTACAGTTTATATATTACAACGGATTATTATTGGTAAAGCAATGTTTTTATAAGCGTTTCCGTATCTAGCACATCAGTATTGTAAACTTAGTAATTGTATCTGTTACAACTTGATAAAGCAATAAACAAGGTGAGGTAAACACAAACAACTAATATGATAACGATATTTTTCAGATAGTAACAGCTGACGTATTTTAATTACATATATATGTGTATCAAGGAAACGAGTAACCTTGTTAAAAAATACGCGTAGAGATTTTCGTTTCATCTGTCCGTATTCGTTCCAGAAGTACACACAAGAGCACTGCACCTATGATTTTGGATACAACAAAACGAAACATTCACAAAGACAGTACTACCGTACGACAACTTCAAGTCGCACTGATAGTATTAAACACCAAAATAGTTCACGATACCGTCACATGTTGACAGAGAAGGAAATCTTTCTCTCTCCTTTCGTACAAAGTCCGAGTCCTTTAGGGCCAGTATGATAAGCGATTATAAATCTACATTGTCCAGACAACTTTAATTATAAACTATCTTTTTCCTAATATCAGTCTTCGTTTAGTTAACGCTTAATATCTCTTAAACATATAATTCACCCATGATGACAAACAATGTCCTCAAAATCGCTTGTAGCTTTGCTAAATAGCCCACGAAAGGTTTGTATAATGACTTTTCACCAAAATACATGGATACACTCTCGACAGTGGCTCGATTAATTTAAATAATAAAAATTTACGACTTACGTATCCAGCGCCATATAAGTAGCCTGTGAAAAACGCTCATGATTCATTTAACAAAGAACAAAGAAGCAGGAGTCATTTTCTCACGGTTCTGAGTTTTCCACTACACTACACTTATATGTATATTAAAATTATTGTCTCCTGAATTGTACTTCCCCTAGTACACTATTATGGGTGGTTAACAATGCTTTATCCCAATTCTTTATTTAACAAAGTCTAACCTAATTATTTATTTTGTGAATTTTTTGATTGCGATTGTAGCTTTTATCATATCCGATCGCTTTGTTTAATAACAATATAGATTGTTGCCAAAATATTATACTCTATAATTCAAAACACCTACAAAGACCGGTTCGACTAGGAAGTATCCTCTTACACGTAGCTGTAAAGCTTAGAACCATTGACGGAGACTGAACAGCCACTATGCATCCATTCATAGCATACTGCAGTAGATATAAACAAATCTCAAAGAAGGGTGACTCACAACTCCCACACGTCGTATACAAATTTGCTTGGTCACTGCTGTGAATAACAAAGAAGGATAAGGGAACAGCAGAGGGGAAAACGTGGACAATTTAATTGAACATAACAGTGTTAGTAATTATTTATTGGACACCATTAACTCTGAGTAGTTATTGTCGAGATAATTTGTAATATGGTGATAGAGAAGGTAACTGATATTGTCACGAAAAAAAGAGTCAAAGGACTGTCAGTTTAATCAGGATAATTGGCGTCACATGTGCCTAAAACAACGTTTAATCTAAAGTCTAAAAACAATTTAAACAGGCGAAGATAATTGAGCTCACTTTCTATTCGAAGTAGCGTAACATTCTTGCTGGGTGACGTAATGAGGCGCCGGCGCAACTCTATATACATCCATCTACAACTATCAAAGTATGAAGAATAATAAATAATATTCTGAATCATTCACCTGTACCTATTTCTTTTTCTCTCGGTTTTAATTATTACGAAACCAGTTTCGGGTAAGACGTCACACGGACAAAAAGGTTTCTGCGTAGTGTAGTTTACCTACAAACACCAACAGACCCATACCTACGAGTCTGATCGAATAAATAAAGGTTACATAACTGTATAATTAACTGTCAAGGATTTCCGGAAACACGTCGATTTTAATGACAATAAATAAATATATTTTATATTATATGGTAATAGTATGTCTATTTATTGTTTTCTAATACCGTGTAATACTGAAGTTGGAGCAAATAATTGTGTAAGCGAATTTTAAAAACACTAAAATAATAAACAAAACTTTTAACGGTTTAAAACGCGAAATATATAATATTAACTGAGACCCGACCTTTCGAATGCTTTGCAGCAGTCGTGGTTACGGGAGGACTACGGAGGAAACGTCAGGTGTACGACTAGCGGTAACTATAGACAATAGAGCAATTTAGATATTGAAAATAATAAATCTTATAAAATGTCTCAATTATACTGATGTAATTACAAAGTATTTAATGAAAGTCTTTTTATGACAGAGAACATCTAAACAAGATGCGCTAGCGTCCAATTTTGGCTTTGGATATTTGGAAATCTGTATACAAAACCTGACAAGTACAGTTCAAGGCCTTTCCATCTGTGGACGGTGGTACGTGATCCGGGCAAAACATGACGTATTATACCAAAATTCGTTACAATTATCAATAAATACCTTTCCCGAATTCTTTCTTTACGTATAAAATATGTTTATATTGCATGGAGTATGTGAAATGTTTATACAATGTACTTACTTATTACTTCTTACAACCACATAATATGCATAGTACAAAGTAGGAAGCCATATAAATATGATTTATATGTAGGCGTTGGCGCCTTATTGTACTTACTCATCCGACTTCATGTAACCGAAAAAGGATTTATGCTAAGGTGCATTGCCTTCTAAACAAAGCTTTCTAAATGCGTGTAATATTTAGTGGTAGATACAAACTCAAGTGCCTAGATCTTAGTCAACCTAACTTCGCCCAGAATCAGGTCAAACTCTAGCCACCTTACTCAGTGAATGTTCGATAAGAGCCTATTAATTATGCTAATAAATGTTTAACATACAATATTTATTAATATTACACGTATTAATAAATATTTTATTACGCTAATTAAGAACAAATATGGGACGACGAACTCAAATTAACTCTGCGTTTTCTCGTATTATTGTTTATCCTTTTATCTAATAACAAACTGGGATTCAAACCCCGGAGCTTTAAGGCTTTAAAAAATAAATGAGGCTGTAATTTTTCTGTAGTTTAAGCTATTCGTAAGTCATAATATATAACCGGAGTATAGTCTGTAGTTTACGCGAGTAGAACACGGTATTAAACGTTTCAAACTCGAACTCAAACCATTTATTTCAACAAGACAGAATAAATAACTTAAACATTAGCTTAAATAATTAAGCGGTTAAAACTTATTTACAATTAAGTTTAACTACGGCGCGACCTTTCTCATGCTTTAGAGCAGCCATGGTACCCCTGTAACTACGGCTGCTGCAAAGCATCCCCATGTTTTATTTCAAATACCGCTCGAGTTTAATATTAGATAAACTGGTAGCCTACCTACGTACAATAAAGAATCACTAGCAATGACTAAAATTACCTCGTATCAAAACAACGCGGGTGGGCGTCACGTAGGCTAAAGCTAACCCAACTTAATTAACTCTCCATGCATTCAAAGCAACTCCCAACAGTTGAACTATTTATTTGAGCGGGCGCGTTATAGTCGGAATTTCCACAGCGAGATCATTAACCTTTTAACTATTTTGTACCCATAAAAACTGGCTCGCCTGCCTAAAGCGCGACGTAGACACGAATATTCTAGAACACAAGTCATAAAGCTCAGTATGTAACTCGTCAAAGAGTAGATATTCAGATGTATTATCTGTACTTTACGAGAGTAGTACACATTTAAAACACTCTAAACGGTTCAGAACGCGAAATACATTATTATTATTGAACTTACTTTTTTCCCTTAAACGTAGCTGCTGAAAGACTTCCGACACGCGCGTTGTAATTCAAATAGGAAAAGTTTACTAATATATTTCGCGTTTTAAACCGTTAATGGTGTTTAATATTAATAACTTTGATATGTCTCAAATAGATAAGTTTGAGCATCAGTTTTGGTTATAATGGTTATTGATTTTATACTCATTTAATAGATACACAAACAAGTATGTTGAATCATCGATCATATACAGACGTACATTTAATACTTATGCAAGTCAAATGTAACGACTTGAATAAGCCAGAACGATCAGTCAACAGTATGGCATATTGAAAACATACCCGCATAATGATGTAAGAGGATCACACGGTCCGATTGTAACATCGCGTGACGTCAGAAGTGGGGGGGATAGGTGTACTCGCAAGGACGTTCGCGACGGTAACGTGTCGGCTCTCGGTTGGGCAACCGCGGAAGCCAGCTCGGCAAGCCCTCAATGGCGAAACGTCATTCATACAACGGGGGTCTTGGGGCTAAACTCATAACATCTAACCAAGATGCGCTGTCGGCCTTTTTTGGCTTAGGCCTTAGGATATTCAGAGATACTGTTTTAATGCAAATGTCATTTCGTGTTCCATTTATAGACTATGCTTAATTGATACTAATAATAAATGCCCATTTTTGAGTTGTCAATAAATATAAAATATTGTAGCCCATTAATAAACGTAAAGTTGATAGTGTGCCAAGCATCTGGTGCAACGCTTTGAGTCATGGGACGTTCATGTGATACATCTTATCACATGAACTAAACATAAAACTAATTATACACAATGTGTACATGTATGTATAATTGACGCCTAGATCTTTTCGTCAATTCGATTTTCAGAAAAAAAGGCGGTAGGTTATAGGAATCCGGTCTACTAATTGTAACCTAGATGGAGGCTTCAAATTATATAATGGAACTAGTAAGTTTATCATATAAATTAAAAATCTATTATAAATTAAAATAAAACTCTTTGACTACAGACGGTATTCGATTACAAATTGAAAAGAATTACGACTCGAGCAGGACTTGAACCGGCATCGACACCGTTTCGCGCTGTTGCTCTTTAATGCTCTGCAATTTATAATCGATCTTTAATTTATATATTGCCATGTGCAAAATATTAATGTTTGCCACAAATAATGCATTATTTCAAGCCAAATAATAAAATAAATTGTATACCGCTTACGTAAAGCTACGTTGTGTGCCGTGGGAACTGTGGTAGATGATTAGGTGAATCTCAATCGAATATTCATTCATAATGAATCCTACAGAATTCGTTATTCATGCATTATCGTGTTTGATTGTCGTTTAGAATAACAAATTGCTAATCACAATAGATCAATCTTTCCAATTGCACTAAGTATTAGAACTAGTGACGAGCTGAGAAGATTAAACCGAAACCGAATTTCGGTTTATGTATATTCAAAGACCTTTAATTTACAATATAAAATAAACTTAGGTCTTCATTTTAGATATACCACAAAACCCGCAGAAGACGATTTCTCAGGGACCCAACCAAACACGCATCTTAAACAGGTTCTGCTTTATCTATAAAATCCTAATATTATGTCTCTTCCTATAATACTCAATTTTAAGACCTAATGACGCCGTAGTACAAAAGTCCTAATTTTATTTCACATAACTAATAACTTTAATCTATAAGCGAATATTGTTTTTTTTAATTTCGACATTCGGCCGCTAAAGTATTGTTAAGCCGAATGTGAACCGAATTTCGATCCATCCCTGATCGAACGAAGCCTTATTACGATACAATCGGGTCATTAGGTGTAATTTACGAACAATACTAGCTAAAGAATGCATCAATGTGGGTAATGTTAGCTCGTATGTTACCATAACAATGGAATTGGAGCTGGGAGCCAAGCCATTCAGTAAAACGAAAACATACTCGGCCAATGATTCAACGATCACATTCCACTATGCAACGGTACTTAGTGTATTACCCTTGACTTGGTTGAAGTGATCAACGTTCGACAGTAAGAACATGTGAACTCTTCTCTGCTACACAAACAAATTTCGTTCACATTAATAGGTTTTATTTCAAAACTTTAATACTTTTACATGCAATAAGCGCATGATGGCATTATAAAAATATTACTCCACTTGCGTTAAGGTCGAAACTACATTGCGCGAGAGTTACATGTCAATAGGTTGAAAAATTCGAAAATGACGTATAGGACACGGTAGCTGAGCTGTACACTAATTCACGTATTTCTGCTCAGAACCTGTAAAAAACAAATTAAAACCCCCCCCCAACCAAAAAAAAAAAAAACTTCCAACAAAATTTTTTTTTTTAAAAAAAAAAAAAAAAAATTTTTTAAAACCCAAAAAAAAAAAAAAAAAAAACACCTTTTGTATTAAAAAGGGGGGGGGTTTTTTATACACACCCCCCAAAACCCCCCCCCCTCTCCCCCCCCCCCCCCTTTTTTTTAAAAAACCCCAAAAAAAAAAAAAAAACCCCCCCAAAAAAAAAAAAAAAAAAAAAAACCCCCCCCCCCGGGGGGAAAAAAAAAAAAAAAAAAAAAAAAAACCCAAATCTTTTTTTTAAAAAAAAAAAAAAAAAAAAAAAAAAAAAAAAAAAAAAAAAAAAAAAAAGCAAGTACACAATTTAGTAATCAGCGTAGAAGGTTAATGCATCGCTTAATTCATTCTATGTACGTAATAAAATCAATATTATATAAAAAATGTTTTTATGGAAAAAAAATTCAGCATTATTTATAATCACATTATGAGGTCACTGTATGACTTGTAAATTTGTTTGATACAAAACCGATGTATTAGGCCTTATGTTTTATGTTTTTAATTAAAATTCACATAAAACCAGTAAGAAATATAGGTATTTGTATTATAACACATTTAAATAAAACACTTTAACGGTTTAAAAACGCGATATATTGTTAAACTTATATATCGCTTTTTTAAACCGTTTAAGTGTTTTTTTTAAATGATGTACTACTCGCGTAACTATAGACAGTATTTTATATTTGTATATCTTTCAACTTAAAAAAATACAAATAGAATTGAATTTCGGCACATATTATGTAAATTAAGTTATTAATAAAATTAAGATATTTGTTAACAAAATTAAGAATTTGTACATTTTAATGTTGGGCTGTGGAAGGGACGTTTTTTATAATTTCTTGTTGAACAATTACAATAACTTTCGCTTTTACGAACATTCCACTAGTATGAAACTCACTGAAATCGAGGTCGCTTGTAATTTACAATTGATTGCGTTAAATTCTATTCACTAAGAGCTAACAACGATCGATTTTAACCAAATCGTTTGTGTTTGTGATGTCAAAAATAAGCGCCTATTGCTAACTTTCTAGGGCACTAAAAGAATAACCAATAGGGGAATCAAAATATTATGTCCTTAATTTATTATTTTTATTTACTTAAAACCTTCAAATATAAGTGGATAATTTTTTTAACATAAAAGTGGAAACTTTGATATTTTTTTTATATATTTACAATAATTAAAGGTACCATTGCGTTAAGCGTAAGACATTCTGAGTTGTTAAAGTTTTAGTAAGGCAGCGCTAAGTACACGATTAACTACTTTGTTTTATGAACAGACTCGGGTTGTAATAAAAAACTAAATAGCATCAAATTGAATGGATTAAAAATATCGCAATTCGCCACGAAATGCGAAATGAAGAATGGTAGTTAGGACAAGGACGCGACGTCACGATACCAGTCATGTCGACTGGGTCATGCTGTGCAGTCTTCAAGGGAACAGCGGGCACGTCTTTTCAAAGCAATCTATACTAATATATAAAGCTGAAAAGTTTGTTTGTTTGTTTCAACGCGTTAATCTCAGGAACTACAGAGAAGAAACAGCGGGAAATGTGGAAAAAAGGGGAAAATCATTCATCCTTGTGAGTTTCCGTTGCTTACGCTACGAGAACGGTTCAAGGTATCCAGAAAATATGTATCAAAGAATAATTCCTCTTTTAATTATCTAAAAGAATGTCCGCGACCGAATATGTCTATCTTTTAAGACTAATTTGCAAGTATGAGGGGACGCGGAAGATGTTTTGGGTATCAGCTTAAATTTATAGTCAACAGGAGATTTGATAAAACATATTTTGATGCCTAAAATAATTATTCTATGCGGACGATATCGCTAACACAGGTAGTTAGTTATAAGACATATATTAGAGGTTTTAAACATCATCGGATTGTTAAAACGTCACAAAAGTATTAATTACTTACTCAAGGTAGTCGCTTAATTAATATAAGAATAAATAGATTCATTGAATTGAAATAGCTAGGTTGCGATATCTTACAGAACCTATTAATAAAAGAAATATAAATAAATACATATATTTTTTCTTAACACATCTATGATAGCAAGTGTTATCTGTGGTAGAGATTAACGAGTTAATTTTAAGGGGTTTAGCGGATGTCCGTTTATCTATTCTTATATTATTCGTTAATTTCTTAACGAATAATAATTCCTATTCATATGCTTAAAAAATGTCCGCGACAGTATATACATTTCTTTAAACATTCACTCGCAAGAACGACGGGCCTCGGCCGACGCAACGATCGAAAATAACTGTTTCATACGTACGAAGTCGCTGGCACAGTTAGTATTGTATATTTTACAGCTCTTTACCCAAAAAAGGCAGCGAAAACCAGCGAATTATGGCACTAGTTTAGTACAAGCATTTTCCTCATTTCTGTGGCTCACGTTTTAAATATTAAGACGAATACAACCAACCTCCTTGTAATCCGGAGATGGTGGTCTCGGGGGGTATTTGGAGGCCATGCGAGCACCAGCACCACACCCTTGAGCCGCGGGTGGCTCATCCTCAGGGTAATATAAATGCACGAAATCTTCCGTGTCTAGAAACGTGTTGATCAACATGCTCTTCCAATATTTGTCACACAGTACACCGCACACTAAGAACTATATACTAAAGGAAGCACAGGAATCGATCGAGTGTTCTATAGCGATCCATTTTCCGTATAAAAAAAACTTATATTTAAAAATAAATAATATACTACACTAGTTAAATCACATCTAAGTTTTCGCAGTTTCCTTAATTTCACTTCACTGATCTGGAGAGAATAAAACATTGCCCTGTTAATATTTCCGAACAATGGAATCTTTGTATTATAAACTAACTTTTCTTTTCGTTTTTCACTTCACTGACGTCAATTGTTTCAATAATACGGTACTGGCTTTATAAATATATCCGTTTATTGTATAGCTTTGATGTCAACCGAGCTATTGTTAACAAATGAACAGTGAATTGGATGCTTGCTTAAGTTCTGTGGTAATTGGCGTGTCATTTGTAATACTTGTCAGTACTAAAATAGACAGTGTAAAAAGTGCAATAACGTACAATTACGAAATCTATCCGAAAACATTACATCAATGTAAACATTTGTGTTTGATGAAGCTATTGAAAAGGATGTTTACATTACGTCTTCACATTTAATGTCAAATAAGTTCAGTGTATGATGAGTATTTTATTCAAAGCACTAAAGCAATTATTACGCAAACGATCTAATATATAAAATTCTCGTGTCACGGTGTTCGAACTTGAACTCCTCCGAAACGGCTCGACCGATTTTCACCAAATTTGATATGTGTATTCAATAGGTCTGAGAATAGGACAACATCTATTTTTCATCCCCCTAAGTGATAAGGGTGGTTCACGCTTATATTTTTATTTTTTATTTTTTAGACAAAAATTTTAATTTCTATTTTTTTATGGTTACGTACCGTTTGCCGGCTCAGCTAGTAATATATAAAAGTCGTAAAACTGGTCGAAGACTGCAAACCGCCTATGCAGCTAAATGTTAAAACGTATTGCCTAGCATTGCGTTAAGCGCGAGAGGTCCTGGGTTGAAGCCCGGGTAAACAATAGATTGTTTTAATCAGACAGTGCACAGAAGTCTGATCAACTACTTTCAGATACGAAACAGATCAGTGCAATGGACACAAAAATGTGTTTGCCACAACCCTACGGGTGGGGGGAAAGAGATTTTAATTTTTTCTGTCTTTATGAGACTAAAACGACTATAGTTATTAAATTATTATTTAAGCGGAAAGTAAGAAAAATACTTCGCTCTCAGCAAGTACATTAAACGTTAAATACCATTTCCTCTACATGAGGTTTGGAGTGGACACATTTCCATATCGATTAAATATTGGGTTAAAATACTGCGCTAGAACACCTTATCGGTTAATAGTAAACGCGTGAATGATCGCCCTTTCGACATATAATTTGCATTGTTTATCCGCGTTTGTAAACAATGCCTACTCTATAATGCAACGCGGTTCATCTTCGGTCAAACCAAGATACATGATCAAAAAATGTACAACAAATACAACTGGGGAATAACATATTACATTACATTTCAATCGCTCAAACTAAGGACGAACCCTAATGTCTAAGTGGGTTTTAGCATTAAAAATATACTTTGTAAATTAGCACTTAGCTTTATCAAATGTCGCTTCTAGGTCGTTGCATAACTTGTTTTTCTTGAATGCGATTTCAATACAAATTTATTGGTCATCTTACAATACGTCTTGTCCTTTAATGGACAATAAATACTTCAATTCTGTCACTGAAACAGTATCTATCTTCATATGAATAGAATAATAAAAATCTTAATTGCCTATAACATAAGAAATAAGATATGTGTATTACTTCATGCTACTGGTATTAAACGACGTTAGTATCATTAACGGATAAAAACTTGTTTGCGATATCCTTGCCATCTTTATCTGTGGCTGATAAAGTGTAGAATGCAACTAAGTATTAGTAAGACATAAATATACTCGCCTCACCATTATCGTCAAATATACGAAGAAAAAAAGAACTGAATGATCATGGATCACTATGGATGCCAGTTTAAGACCCGCTCGCGTAATTTTTTAAAAACTAAATAAATATTTTAAAACCAGACTTAAACCCAAAACTAACTACAATGTAAGTACTATATATCGAAGTTTTACTACTTGAACTACTGTCTTCGAATTATTTAGAATAGTAGTCTTATGTGAAATTTAAAAATATTTAAGGAACTAGTTCCTAATATCCATTACCTCTTTGTTAAACGTAATTATAAAATTTCGATTGTCTAATCAATATTCTGACATCAGTTTCATCTCATGAGTCATAGCGCCACAAGAATCAAATAATATTCCTCAAAGGATTTTAATAATCCAATGGGACAGAACGTCACTTCCCGATGACACACGTATGTAGGACACAAGGTCCGTGCACAATACTATCGGGTTGCTTTGTTTTACGGCGAAAGACAAACAAACTGACATTTTACTAATAATGATATTGGTGTGTGTATTGATTTAATATCGAATATGGGTGAATTGGATTATTACACCAATCGCGGTGCAGCGATGCCAGTTTTAATTGAACGCCGGCGCTGGCATTAAAAATGCGGTCAGCAGTGCCTACTGCTCTCATTACTCCGCTCGGTAGGATACGAATTTATACATTTCAAGTAATTTTCTACTTTAATCCCAGAAGTTAATATGCTGAAGAAACAAACTTCGAGTTTAGGATCGGGTGCCTTAATCGGACTATCATAGATAACAAATGAATGTATGTATTTAAAGCAATTATAATTGAGCCTTTATTATAATTTATATATATATATATATATATATATATTAAAAATGTAAGTTACATTTAAATAATTTTAATACATTACAGTGAATATTTTAAATATTTTTTTTTTATATATTGAAACAAGTAATACAAAGCATGTTTGCATCAAGCCACAAAAGGGGGGTAATATATATATATAATAAATAAGGGAGGCCATAAAGAATGTTCCCGGATTTTATATCTACGAATAAGTTTTTTTTATCATGTCGGATATCCAAAAAACTTTAAAGGCACCTGACTTCTAAAAGCACTTATTTTGAGCTTCATTATTGCATTTCTATACACTTCAGCAACTTCTTATATGTAAGTTATTTTATTTAACTAGTAACGTCTACTTACTGTGAATAGTTTAATTTGACTTGATGTCACAATTGACAAACTTGAACAAAACAAACAAGATATTTAACAATTACAGTCTTGTTGACACGTCCTCTCCATTATAATTTAAAATGACAATGAGATCAATAGTAAAACATGAAGCTATGCCTTCAATAACTGGACCACAAGAGTTGTAAGATGTGTCCTATTCACTGCTCTCATATTACACATCCAACCGACATTCCTCTATGTCGCAATACTGACACGGGAAATTGGTACCTAACACGTACGAAATAGCGGATTTTTTCGCTAATACGCTTTGACACGTTGGTGCCTCCACTTCTGTCGCGGTTAGAGTTTCTGAAACACGAGAATGTACCGCGACTGCAATTTAGTTTCACGTTGCTATTCAAATAAACCGACACCCAATACAACATGCTAAATATTTTGTTACAGCTGTAAATGTAATTCGAGTCTCATTTATCTAATAGTCTGAAATTAGATTCTAGGTAAAAAGCTGTACACTTCTAAATGGAGCAAAGAGGACGGTTGGTCCGTACATGAAACAACATCTAACACATAATTTAATTAAATAATCCATACGGTGAATATCAATAAAAATTTAAATAAAGGTTTATGTAGCTCATGAAGGTACAAAAAATCCTTTAATTTGAAGAACAAAGACATTTACAAACTTAACGACTGCTACGAAAATACAGATCTAAACAAAAGAAAGACCAAAAAACACATAAATTTTAATAAAGCAACCTTAATAGATAATGCTTAATTTTGTTTATTAATTACTGAATGAGACGAATCACGACGGCAGTAAGTTTAGTGGAGCAAGGCCAGACAATTTTTCAGGAGAATAAGTCAACATGGCCTTGCAAAAGAAATTTATTTCTGTACCACACAGCAATACCTCATGTATACGTTTTAAATATAGCATTGAGTTAACTAAACTAAAACTAAGAATTACGTTTTCTTCATACAGTTTCAACTGTCTCTTGTCCGGAAGCTAGTTCGAGTACCAATAGTAGTTGAGACGGCAACTATCAAAGTAAACGAGACAATGAGACGTATTGCACGACAAGTCTACAACGTATAACTGACCAATAGGAAATCAACACGATGCAGACCAAACAAGTATAAGCGATGCATCGTTCAAGCGTCGCGCTGTGACCATGACCTTCACAGAGTACATGTGGCAAATATTTTATTGCTTTATGCTGTTACAGGTAAATAGCGATAAAAAGGTAACGTTAGTAACAACTAGACAATAGGTACCTGATGATTTGTAACTTGGTGGTAAGTTAAACGAGACAATGCCATCTTCAAGTTTATTTACAGGCAAATTAAAAGAAGTCAAACTGGAAATACAAGAAAAGATTACATCTCAAGAGCATCGGCAACAATAATGCGCTGACATCTGTGCAGTATTGTACTGAGTATAAAATTCTGATAAGAATATTCTCGTTCCGCTCAGAAGAATCAGGAAGTGACAACTTTAAATGACGATGCTATAATTATATTAGCGATTGTAGGTCAAGGATCTTTTGTTTACATATTCACGTTAGGTAAATAGTTCTTATAAGAGCTAATGTCGTGCGTTTGATACAAACTCACATTCTCTGATAACAAGGTCATCTAGATATGTTCGAGGCCACATTGGTTAAACTGCACGCATGATATTTTTAGACTGAAAAACAAGTGACTGCAAATGATATCCGGTAAAAGCTAATTACATGACGTTTACTAGAAATAAACTTGTATATCTACCGGTGTCTGTTATCCGTGATTGAAAAATACAAGGAACTCAGCTGCTATGTAAATATAAAAAGATACCTATATACATTATTGTACCGCATAACAATAACACCTAAAGGCCCTTTATAAATTAAGG